AAGGCAAGGAGGTACCGGTACAAACCATTTATACCATCAATAATAATGGGGAATGCCAACAAAAGTAAGTTCGAGGAACTTGAGGCTTTAGTGAAGTATGATGCATCTTACCGGGACCGAGGCCTTTATCTCCTATCTGAATCGTGGCTACATGACAACATACCCGATTCAGCTGTCAGCATCACCGGCTTCTCTATCGTCAGGGCTGACAAAAACACTAAAGCGTGTGGTAAAGCGAAGGGCGTTGGACACGCTTGTCAACAACAAATGATGCCATCCCGGTCACATAACCAGGAAACAGAAGAGCTGTTGTTGTAATATTGAACTGCTAGTGGTCAGCATTTGGCCCTACTATCTTCCACAGGAGTTCTCTCACATCGTCGCCATTATTGTTTACATTCCTCCTCGCGCTGACGTCATCCATGAGGCAGTTCGCTAAATTTCAGTATTGATGATAGTACCGGGGGACTTCACCCATGTTGATGTGAGCTCACATCTGGGTGGCTTTACATAATATGTAGATTGTCCTACAAGTCACAACAGCATCTTAGATCTTTGCTTCTTGAATGTGAAGAATGCCTATAGTGTAGTGGCAATGCCCCCCTCGGCAAGTCTGATCACAATCTGATTAATCTAACAGCCCATATATAGGGCAAATTTGATGAGAATGCCCATAGTCTGTAGATCGTTCAGGCAATGGACAACAGAGGCCAGTGATGCTCTGAGGGACTGCTTTGAGACTACCGACTGGATTATACTTCTGGGCTCAGGGGAGGACATTAACAAGGCTGTGGACAGTGTTACAGACTACATCCACTTCTGTACCGATGTAGTAGTTCCAAAGAAAACCGTCTGCTGTTTTCCAAAAAAACTAAAACGAAATAAATAGGCTTTTAAGGACTGTCCAACCCGACCTGAAGATATTGAGACAGGCAAGGAAGGAGTTCAAGAATAATCTGGAGGAGAAACTGCAGAATAACGACACCCGGGAAGTGTGGAAAGGCATGAGGCCATTACTGGATACAAAGTGAAGGGCAGTGAGGCGGCCGGGAATGCTGATGAGTTTAACCACTTTTACAACCGGTTTGACTCTTCCCCCGTCCACGCTGATTCTGCTGTGACCTGTCCTGCTCCTACTGGCGGCTCAACGACGTCTGCTGCTGTGACCAGTCCTGCTCCTCTCAACGGCTACACCACCCCTGCTGCTGCGTCCTTCTTCACTGTGGAGGATGTCCGGGTGGAGCTAAAGAAGCTCCAGGGGAGGAAGTCTGCTGGGCCTGATGGGCCAACGCCAAGGCTCTTAAAGAAATGTGCAGCGGAGAAAGCTGAGCCTCTCCATACCATCTTTAACAAGAGTCAACTGGATGTGTCCCTACCCGCTGGAAAACCTCCTGCCTGGTACCCGTCCCCAAGGTAGCAAGGCCGACAAGATGCAAGGACTACAGACCAGCGGCACTAACATCTGTCATAATGAAGACTTTTGAGAGGATAGTACTCCGACTGCTCATGCCACAGGTTGAGCACGCTCTTGACCCCGTGCAGTTTGCCTATCAGGAGAACATGGGATTGGATGACGCAGTCCTCTACATGCTCCATCGATCCATGTCCTTCCAGGATGGCCCTGGAGGATATGTGAGGATGATTTTCTTCGACTTCTCTAGTGCATTTAACACCATCCAACCTCTCTTACTGAGGGAGAAACTGGAGAAGACTGGAGTTGATCCCATCTTTACCAACTGGATTTACATTTACCTCACTGTGATGTAACAGTATTTCAGGTTAGGGAAGAGCGTGTCTGGGACTGCAATACGGGAGCACCACAGGGTACCGTTCTGGCTCCCTTCGGACTCGGACGATACCGTTGTTGTGGCATGTGTGAAGGGGAGGGATGAAGCAGAGTACAGGGAGGTTGTGTCTGCCTTCTCAGACTGGAGTGAGTGAAATTAACTGATTCTCAATGCGTCCAAGACCAAGGAGATGATCATCAACTTTCACAGGAGCCCTTCCCATCAGGCGGTCAGTCAGTAAATGGATAGGACATTGAAGTGGTTCGAAGTGTGCTGGAGAGAAGGATAAGGGCTCTAATGCAGGCATCCTGGGTAACTCCAGACACCCTCTGCATGACACTATGGCTGCTCAGAGGATTAATCAATCCTATCATTATCATTACGCTGCCGAACAGAGATCATTTTTTCTTTCGGCTGTCAGACTGTACAACAAACCTGGATGAGTCTTCTGCTGCTTGACACCTGAATTTCTCCTAAGGCGGATCAATAAAGTATCTATCTATCTATCTATGGTAAGTCTACACTGAGTCACTATTTATTCTCTCTCCTCTCAGTGGTGATGGAGGCGAGGCACCCTGTCTGTCCGAACACCACCATCATCATCCGCTTCAGTTATAGAGAGGAAAGAATCTTTAATTTCTAAATAAGATAAAATTTCCTTTATTCGTCCCACAGTGGGGAAATTTTGATTTACTGTCAGGCTGTACAACAAAAAAGGTTGACTCTGTCCATGTCATCTTAAATCAGGAGTCCACGTACCTGTATGGGTGTCTAACAGTAATCAATCTATTCTACATTTATTAGCATTAATCAATATTTGTATGCATTGGAAAACATGCTGCCCACGGCCCTTTTGTGGCCTACATAAAGGTGTTTGGTGGCCCCCTACTCGACATCAAAGTTTATTATCAGGGCCACAGAAGGGGCCACACCTTCTGAGATTTTGGCGAGCTTTTTGAACTCTAGAGCAGTGTTTCTTAAACTTGTTGGAGGTACCAAACCCCAACAGTTTCATAAGTGCATTCACCGAACACCTCTGTTGTGAAAAATAAAATATGAATTTTTCAAATCAATGTCAAGTGATGGGCATATGAAGCCCCGTTACAAACTGAGGCTTTCATTCCCAAACTGTTTCAAATGTGTCGAAGCCTTTGAGCTAGCTCAGACTAGCTTGCAACACTGATATCTAGTGGACAAATGTAATCATTGCAGCTTCTGAATAGCTGTACATGATTGACGTTCCAAACGTGGTTTCAAATTCATATAGTTTCATCTTCTCAGATAACTATAACAAAAAGCATCCTTCTGCAGCAGAACATAGATTTATTGTTGTTGTTAATCTATTGTTAAGGAATTGAATACAAGTTTGTTTGCATCTAAAACAATTAACAGAAACTGTAGGGGACTGCACTTTACGCAGGTTTTTATTCAAGTTCTTCTTCAAGTCTGCTTCAGGAAGAACAACGGTATTATTTGCCCATCACTAGATAATTTGGACTACTCTATGTTTCTCAGCTGGCCTGGGAACACCGTGGGGTCGCCCCGGATTAGCTGGAAGAAGTGTGTGTAGATAGGGGAGTCTGGGCGTCAACGCTGAATTCGGGTGTGTCCAGACCTCTGTGGTGGAGGCTCTGCCGAACCCCTGAGACAAGACTCACCGAACCCCCTAGGGTTCGATCGACCCCCCAGGTTAAGAACCACTGCTCTAGAGCTATATCTCTGCCTTAAATGCTTTTTATCCATATCAATTCTCTGCACTGCAGTAGCCTGACTAAGCAACCCCTACAACATTCTGACACTGACAGGTCCAAAACCACAAGCATTATTGTACTTAATAGTTTGCAGCTTTATATTCCACCTTGTGATGATTGTAGAATATTCCTGTGCTCTTATTCATCTATGTTTAAATTGCAGTACAATGTTTTGTTGCTCAAATGGCTTTATTGCAGTAACAATTGTGCAATGCAAACTACGGATCTGTCTACTCTACACAACATCAGAAAGCCACAGTGCTGTGCATAGCCAAATATGTGCTTAAGTAGGTGACCAGTTTGTGTGTAATGGTGCAGTGAAGGGAAGACCTCAACCTAAGACTGAATAAAAGGAGAATAATTGCAGCCAGTATTATGCCAAGGGCGATCGAGCAGAGCACCAAGGCCTTCTTAGATGGAAACCTTAAACTTCAAAGACACTCTGAGCTGATTGAGGGTGGAGGCTGTCACAAGACTCGCTGCATGATCCTTTATGGCACAATCTGCAGTTGAAGAATATCACTCAGAATTATTCATAGTAGTTAGAACGAACAGCTTGTCAGAGCGTTTGCCTAAACTCCGTGAGGAGAGTGTATCACTGCAGTTTGGTTTTGTTGCAACGAGCAAGTAATGTATTCTAACTTTTTTCATAATTTTATTTAATACTCTTTCATACTAATCCTATGTTCATTACATATTAATCTAAAGTATTATGGAAATAATAAAGAACGTTAACATAAAAACGCACCCTGACCATTTAAAATCTGAGACAACGCTAGGATCGTTAAAAAAAGAAACTAAACTCTGATTATTCTGTGTATTCTATTATTGTTTCTCTGTTGTGTTTCTAACATCATAATTTTTTTGTCTGCTGTATGTAACTCATGGCCTTATAGCCAAATCTAGTGCTTTGGCTATAAGGACCATGATGCATGCATCACACTACTGTATGACAGTTTGTGTATGTTTTCCACATTATGTTGAATTATAATAAATACACAGGGAAGAAAACAAAAATTAAATAAATTATTATATGCAATTAAAAATAAACGTTTTCATAGCCTATTCTACGGGGTGTCCAAAATTGTCAATTTATTTTAGCCAGACTTGTTCAAGAGACGACGACCTGGATTTCTACTGGATTCTTAACTTTAAAATGGGGTATGGCATGTCTATATTGATACGTTCAATCCTTTGACAATTCAAAACTAAATATTGCACATTTTGAAAAGGTACGTGATCCTTGACATGTTGTTAAAAATCAATCTGAAACCTATGAAAATGCTATTTTATTGTGATTGCTGTTAGTTCCTCAAGGTGTAATGTAGTTTACGAAGACCCCATGAGTTTATTACTCCTTCCTCACCCCCAAAACCAACCACAAGATGGCGTGCTAACAAAAGGCGCTGCAGTGCTCAAACGGAACGAACGTCTCAAAGGTTCTGCCTGGGGAGTGTTATTGATGACGGACCAATATGGCGGATCTTGCGATCAAAACAATCGTAAGACATTTGTTAAAATAGTCTCCTAATCTACCTGGCCTTTTACTTATGAGTTGCATAGCTTGTAGCCGACTATATTCTGTCCTTGCCATTCATATGATATAACTTGGAACTGCTAAAAACATTCAGATGAAAATAAAAATGTGGGGTGAAATTATCGAGCCCCCTAAAGCTAAAGAGAAAGCAGTGAGATCCAATTCACCTGAAAGGCCAGTGCAACGGCACGAAAAGCCTAACTTTATCTTTCCAAACTTGAAAGATGTGGCTACAAAGTCTCCTCCGAGTGACACTAGTATGTGCTGTGAAGAGTCTGGACATCAGCTGCACCATGAGGTATGTGCGTTATGCTCAAATATATAAGTACAACACGATTTTTAAAACTCGTCCTAATTTCTGTGAATCAGAATATGTGTATCAAAGAGATGGTGGAGGTTATAGCCCGCAGTGGAAACCATGTGAAGAGCCAGCAGATCGGAGAGGCTGAGCTGACCCTGGATCAGCGCAAAGAGGAGCTACTGCGACAGTACAAGAGCCGACCCCTTGTGTTTCTGGAAAAGTATCATGTGCGTATCCACCTGCCAGTGCAGAATAAAAAAACTGTTCCACTATAAAATTATGTCATGTACTTTAAAAGATTACTTTTTATTTCCCCTAAGAATACTTTAAAACCTGAGCATCTGGCAGCTTTTGCGCATGTCAGCTCAGATCCAAGAACACAACACTACAGTAAAGTCATCGAGAGACGAGCTGCAGGATGCATCAACAAAACAAGGGTTAAAAACCACCGCTACGCTGCTCTCCGCTCATTGCAGAAGGGTAAGCATCTTCAGATTTAAATGTTTGGCAGTGTGCACCACATGGTATAATGGATTTTGTTTATAGAAGGTGGCTATTTTAGTGATGAGCAGATGCGCATAAGGGAGCCGCTGCTTTATGAGCAGTACATTGGCCAGTATCTGACTGATGAAGAGGTAAACAGAATTAACTATTGTCACAAAGTCCATGTCTTAGTCATAGTCAAATAATTCACTTGTCTCTAAAACTAGTTAAAGGACTTGTTTTTGGGAAGCTGTGTGCTTTTGAACACAGGACAATTGGTTTGCAGGTACTGGAGCGCTCTCAAGAGGCCATGCAGGAAAGTGCATCAGAAGGATCAGGAGGACTCGCTAACCTGCTGCTGAACTCCTATCAGGAGCGTCTGATTCAGAACAGACTGCAGAAAGAACAGGAGAGAGAGGATGGAGCTGAGGAGGAGGATGAAGTCGAGGAGGAGGATGGTGAGATAGAACACTGACTATCTCAGTGTACCATGTATATGGAGTAATCTTTATTCTTCAGATAATCAGAGTCGGGAACAGAGCTGGGAGCCCAATTCAGCAGAGAAGGCACAACTTAGAGAAGAGTTTATCAGTCAAATGCTTCAGCGCTTCCTGGACGGTAAAGACAAAGACTTTAACTACAGGTGACTTATTTCTTTAGCTTATAACATGTGTGAAGATGTGATGTAATCAAACTTCAGCTGTAATATACAAGCCATGTTCTGTTCAGTGGGGTGGATGACAACCCAGACTATGACAATTTGGACATTGTCACCAGAGATGCGGAGGATAAGTATTTTGATGACGATGATGAAGATGAAGAAAATATGGAATAAAAAGTAATAAAAGCTGTTTTTTGAATACATGTTTTCATTCAAGTAGTGGGTAGAGGTTTGGAATTGGCTCAGAATATGTAACTGAGTTGCTGAATTCACTGTTAAAATACAAAATGACTCATGAAAAAAATAAAAGGTACTTTTATCAAAACTGTAGAAACATCAAATTGGTTTACAGCAAGAATTCAAATAAAATAAAATGTTTCACAAAAATCCATGGCAAGCCTTAGCCTGGACTCCATAGCATAAGGTTACAGGTAGTTTGAGAACACAAACTAAGTTATCTAGGGCTCAAAGAGGCCATGGAGCTTCAGGTGAACAGGAATCCAACCACAGACAGTCTGATGGGGACATTTCAAATTCATAACATTTCACAAAGGTTTGGGATTAGTTTATGACCTTTTTTCTACAAGCTGTGGCTGTTTATAAAATAAATTATATAAGCTGAAGACTTTCTATCAAGAGCCCTGCAGTATAGTTTAGGCTAGGGGTGTCTTTCTGGAACCGGTTGGACAGCCATGGTTTAGGCTACTCCACACTTCAGTGTTTTAACTTTTGTAGCTGCAGAGAGTAATATTCTTCTTGTAGCTTCAAGACTTTAATCTGCATTTTTATTTTCTGTCTTTTTAGTTGTTCAAGATCCATGATCTCCAGTTCAGGGCTTGTTTGTGCTGATGATGCTGCGGGGTTCTCCTCTTGAGGAGGCCTGTTGGAAAAGATTATCAATGATTAGCAAAATATTATTTACTATTTTTTTGTACATTCATACCTTTCATCAGGTGGTTCTTGTTCAGAATCCTGAAGTATCACATCCGGTAAGGTAGCTGCTGCTTCCACTGACTCCAGATCGAAACACAAAATTGGAGCCACAATTTCCACCTCGTTGTTCATTTCTTCCAGACGTTCTTGTTGTGAAGTTGTTCCGATTCCTTGGTCCTGAGTGATGGCCGCCTCTTCCATGGGCATCAGTTCCACCTTTGTGAGCAATAAGTCAGAAATGATCCTTTAAATGTAGCATCTCACTAGTTATATATATATTTTTTTTTCCCTTAATCTCAGTTGTATTACCCCCTTGATGAGCCTAGATTTCAGGCAGAAGTTTCTATAATAAAACTAGCCTGAGCCCTCCGTACACTCCGCTCAATAATCATTTCCCTGCATGTAACGTCTGGGTCTGGTCCCCATGTTTGCGATTACAATTGGTTGAATTTCGACCGACAAATCAGCAAGCGCAGGGGCGACAGTAGCTCAGTTGGTAGAGCAGTGGCCTTTGAGCCTGGAGGTTGTGAGTTCGATTCCCACCATGGGACCTACTCCAACTGCTCCCACTGATGTCTACTGTCGTTGTGTCCTTGGGCAAGACACTTAACCCCACGTTGCCTGAAGCCCCCGCTGATTCACCGCTGATGGAGCAGCCATCTTCCTGTGGACTCACCCCCTGCAGAGGATCAGTGAGGGACTGGTGCTATGAGCGTTGGGTGGCAGCTCTCATTGCCACCCCCCTGACCCAGAAATGGACTAATAAAGGGCTTGAAAATGAAATGAGCAAGCGTGGGAGGTGGGTGTTGTAGTTAGTTGTGGGTGATGTCAAGAGTTTGCGTTGAACGGGCAGGTTTTGGTTTGGCAGTGGCGAAAAATGTAAAGTAATCCGGTCTGGTTCTATCAAGAAATTGAAGCCAGAGCAAGAGTAATGTTTAGCAAATGGAATAGCTAGAAAAAAATTGTGGCGCTACCCCCCACGGGCTCCGTTAGCGGCAAAGGAGATGGCTAGGCTGAATGCTAACAACAGACTCGGGCGCACTACATACGTCACAGTAAACTCGGATCCAATCGTTTCAATCTGTGAAAGGAGTTAACACCTATCTGAAAACGGAACTCACTGGAGAAATTCTGAGCCTGTTACAAATGCTAAATTATGGAAGAACTTAAATGCAAAAAATCATTTTCAGCATTGAGGTTCACACTTTGGATGAAAAATATGATATTCAAACTGAACAATATGCAAATGTGAAGGATTACATCTATGCTCTCTTATCACCCGGGGATTTGCAGACATATCTGGATCTACAGCCCTTCCGTCAGTGGGAGCGGAGTTTTTTCTTGCCATTTCAGGAGGCTTTAAGCACAGTGGTGATGATTCAGGACATTAACGACATTTATGGACATAGGTCATCCGTTCGTTATGGACCAATGGCTCTGTGTTTGTTATTGCATTTCTTGTGTTTGAACAGTTTGATTTTCTGATCTGTGTTGGCGAATTCAACGGTTTTGTAAAGTCCTCCAAAATAACTACTGTTGTGATTTAGGGCTAAACCAATAAATTACATTGAATTGAAAGTTAGTTTGGAATTCAAACTGTAAAGTAATAAAGTTGCAAATCTATGGCCCACCTCTTCCACCACATTTTCCTGGTTCTTATCGCCTTGGACGTCGCTTGTGTCGACAGGCTCCGGAGCTTCGTCTTCACCAGTGCTGACCTCGTGTTCGGTGTGATCTGTCGGTGAGGCGGATCTGCCGTCAGAATCTTGCTCCTGGTTCTCGTCGTGAGAGTCGTTCTGTGAAGTCTCTGCGTGGAACTCGTCTCCGTCTTGGACCGCAGTCTCCCCCACAGCATCATGAGCGTCGTCTTGACCAGTTTTCTCTTTGCTTTGATCTTTCGGTGATGTAGGTCTTCCCCCTGAATGAAGACAGCCGTAGCACATCTGGTTACATCAGCCACAATTTATCATTTTAATTTTCGTTGTACGTCTGACAACATACTTTGCTTGTACCACAAAAAAGCCACTTTTTAAAAAAGAGCTTTGAACCTTGTAATACTTCTCATTGTGTTAGCTTTTTTAACTCATTTATTTAGCTAGCACGAGGGTGACAGGTTGTCAGATTGTCTATTTACAAGGCAAATCTCAAAAAAGGAAGAGGCAGAAGCAAAAGCTTATCAGGATCTTTTAATATTGTAACATTATTAGGCCAGAGCGCCGAACTGTTGTAAGGGCCTATTGCGTACACAATGGTGAATACAAGGGGTTGCGGTGCGTCGAAGGACGCATCAGCTTTAAAATGATGTATCATGTGCCATTGAAACCTATATTGTTTTTGCCCAAGAGATGAAAAAATAAAATCCTTATTTCTCTCTTTCTTCCTCTGCTCTTTAAACCTCATTTTGACCCCCTGAAAGTGCATTATTTTTCCTGAAACAAAAAAAAATGACGGAATAGTGCCACTCATTAATTTTGGCCATGTTTGCATTTAGTTTATCCTAGTCCTTGTCCATACAATATTTGGCACACATGTCACCTCAATAAAAGATAAAAAATTATATTATTACACGCCGTTTGACCCATACAAAGTCCACTCCAATTTTCCTCCAATTTTGAGAATTTCAAATTTGCTCCTGTTAACTTGTCCTGTTACAAAGTTTGATTAACACCAATTGTTCAACCCCTGGGTCTACGTCACCTGGATATGAGTGAGCCAAAAGGTGTACATGGGAAGGAAAACATTTCATTATGAAACAAACTAGCCTCAGCTGTTATAATAGATTTGGCTTAAAATCGCTCCATATCATCTAAACGTCCTGTAGCTAGCTTAGGTCCTAGATCATTAGCCTGTCCGTCCGGAGGAGCGGATCCCTTTCTCAAATGGATCTCCCTCCCTGTGGGTTTCCCTAGTTCTCCCCAAGGTTTCTCACTTTTTCCCACTGGGTTTTTTAAGAGTTTTTCCTTGTCGATGCAGGAGGGTCTTGGACAGTTAGTGTCCAACAGAAAGGATTGGTGATGATCAGGACACTTTAGCATTCTACAACATGTATGGACATTTTCTTCTGTGTGTGCTTTATATTCTTCATGTGTTTTAACTGTTGATTCTCTGACCTGTGTTGGTGATTTCAATGGTTTTGTTAAGTCCTCTGAGATGACTTCTGTTGTGAAATAGGGCTATACAAGAATAAATTGTATTGTAAACATGTGTAGCATCAAAAAGTAGTCACAGAATTATGATCGGTTAAACAATGTTCAAGTAGTGGAGGCACAAAAGTGCACTCTTATTTCCCCAACTTTGAGAATTTCAAATTAATCCTGTTTACACATACAAAGTCCAATTAACTCCAAACCTGAATCAACTCTGGGGTCTAGGTGAGCTGAAAGTGAAAAACATGAAAATAAAGCATTAGCGCCCCCTACAGAATGAGCCAAAGTTGTATGTTTGTTGTATGGGCATAAAGAAATTTAGTTTTGTCAAAATGTGTGAAATTTTGCACAAAATTACGTTTTTACATTCCGATACAAAAAGTCAATTAGGTCTATGAATTAATTTTCACTGTTGCCCTTGCGCTTGACAAGAACTCCCAATTCAGTGTCAAAGGGGATAATCATAAATCTTTCAAATGTTCACCTCACACTCATAACAAACCAGCCACAATCGTTTCACTGATTTGCCTCAATTTCTCCACATAATCTCAACACACGTAGAATAAAAAGTTAGCTGCAGAATTTTGATTGGTTAAAACGGTGGGCAAGCAGTGGAGCAGCAAATGTTCCATTTACTCATACAAAATTTGATAAACACCAAACATGAATCGGTTTTTCAACTATTGGATCTAGGTCAGGCGATAGCGGAGAAAATGAAATTGCAGCGTTAGTGCCCCCTACAGAGTGACCCAAAGGTTTACATGTCATGGGGAGGAAAACATTTCCTTATATAATTCGTATCCTGGTTGCATATGGGTTACGATTGCTGTTTCAGTTTATATTGATATTTTGAATATCCTTCTTTGTGATGATCCTTCTTTTCTCACACCATGACCTTCCCCTAAAAAAAAAAAAACCTGGAGAAGATGAAGGGAATTTGGAGAAAATGCCACTGCTGACACTTGATGTTGAGTCCAGTGGCTAGATCACATGGGTGTATGCTGTGTTTGTGCAGGCTAAACCTGTGAACCGCATCCCTGACACAGCCCTGCTGTACGGCTACAATACTTTCCTTGGCCGGCCATACAATCACAAACCACTTTGAGAATTTTGCCATCCTTTCTCTTTATGGTTGCTGATGCTGGGTTCACACCAAACGCGTTTTGGGCGTCAAAATCGCGTCTAACGCCCGTCTTGGGATGCTTGTGACAAATTGTGGCAGACGCTGTCACAGAGCATCTTGGAGGCGCGTCAAACGCGTCCAGGACACTAGAGGGCAGCGTTCTGGAGGCGCGTCAGGCAAGAGCGTTTTGGGGCAGGCCTGCTCTGTTGCCAACACAACTAGGAGAGGGAAGGACACGGGAGCCAGGATGAAGGTAAAAGTTTAAAATACGATTTAATTAGGACATAAAAGTTCATTCTAATAATATTTGAGGCAAGAAATACCCCTCTCTACTGCCATATCGGAGGTCTGTTTGGTGATCAAATAGAACATAGTCGGACTTTTTTCCAGTGCAGAGAGCGGGGGTCGGGCAGTGCTCAAGCCGAGAAAGAGCGTCTCAACACGGGGACACATCAGTGGAGCTCTCACAATCTTAATTCTGAAAATCCGAGGCTTTTGTTACGGAGTTTCTCTATTATAACAATTGTATTGATAGTAATCTTTCATTTTTACTAAGTTATATTGTATGTAAACACATACAATATACACACATGCGATAAATGATATACGATTTATTTATTTGCTATGGCCCTCGTTTGTGCATCACTTACATAAATGTAATAACGTGTGTTTTCTGATGAGAAAGGAATATCCATGGCTCTATAATAATAATAATAACCACATCCATGGATCTGTAATAATAACGAACATGAGTAAAAAGGAGTTGAACACAGGAAAGGCCTGGAACTGTTCTTTTTGAAGTCTTGAAAGCAACAGACTGTTGTATTCAATTAGAAGTATAAGTACTGCTGACAAATATGTACTTGTGTAAATAATACCTTATTTTTCATGACTCTTTACACTTCAGACACAAAAAACTAAATTATAAAAACACCAACAAGTTTGATTTTTTATTTTTTATTTCCAGGCTCTCTATGAAGGTGTCAGAGGCAGACGCCCAGGACTCTGCTGTTGCTCCTGCTGCTGTTGCTCCTCCTGCTGCTCCTCGTCTTCAGAGAAGCAGAGCCCACTTTTCTAACTATTCATGATTGATGATTCAATAAAACATGAAAATATTTGCTGTAGTTCATATTGTAAATCCGCAGTGAAGCAGGAGGTGATGGAGGTGAAGCTGGAGAAATGATGCCGTGTGATTTTGTTGCTGTCAGAGAAAGTCAGAGTTCCGTTTCACCAAAAGTCTCTGAAAAAGAACACAAACATGTTAAAACATGGACACCTCAAAATAAAATACAGAAATCCTTCCTGTATTTGATTTTAGAGGTACAAGCTTCAGAGCAGGAGAAACAGCCACTGAGGAGGAACAGAATAATAATAATATACACACAAATAAAACTTAGAAGGCTAACCACTTTAAACCTGTTGGAAGTGAGACTCATCTGCAAATGTCCTTTATTAATGACAAAAGAAACATCTGTATAATTTTCTCTTATTTCATAATTCTATACATATATTTATCAGACTTGTATGAAAAGTGCTTCATAATAAGCAAGATATATACAGAAAATGTAAATTATGCAGTATTCCTAGTCTTAGTATAGGATTATAAATGATATACACACAATCTATTTTATATGAATACAGATACTTCGTGTTGGATACTACATGTTAGCATACTACAGCTGCTGTCTCCTTGGACTGTTCCTCTGTAGCTTTAATATGTAATCTGTGGGTTTGTTTCTCCCTGTGACATCTTAGTTTTAGTATTAACGATTGTGAAAAATGTAAATAACTTACTCGAGACACCAACCTCCTCACTGACCCTCCTCCATGTCACGGTGGTTATAGTCCGCGGGGCTAAAGGGCTAAAAGCACAGCTTGTCCTCCATAGCTGTTGTGTTTTCTTTCCGTCTTCACCCTTGGTCCTGCCGTGAAATGCGTCACTGGGTCACTGTTGGAGACCCAGTGGTTGCGTCTTCTCCCAAAAAGTTCAACAATGTTCAACGCAAGCGTCTGCTGCGTTGGAGGCGCGGGATGCGCGTCAAAACGCTTGAAATCTCAAAAGCCGCGCCAGAAGCGCAAAATGCTCAAAGGCGCGCTGCTTGGGAGGCGTGTGACGCGCCGCGGGATCTCTTGACGCTCCTAGAAGCGCGTCCACCATGTATTTTCAATGTAAACCCGATGCTTTGGACGCTCAAGACGCGTTTGGTGTGAACCCAGCATGATACATTATGATAGGAATTTACTGCCTGGCAAAACCTCTCGGATGCCTTTCAATTTGATAATCTCATCTGTAATGGCCTGCGGTGTCATGTAAACATGGCTCTAACACTGTTAAAATGGACTCAAATTGACGCACATTTATCTTATCTAAGTCTGACATTTTCCTGTCATACAGTGTCCTGTCATTACCTGTATCGGTAAGTTTTGGCCAGTACCTGATCATTGATTATGATGACAAAATCTTCATGACAAAAGTGATAAACATGATGATGGTGACGAGAATGAGGATAGACTAATGATATCATACAATATAATTTATAATTGTCTTTGAAATAGTTGTGTTACTGACCAGGCTGTTTAAGAGAATGAATGTGTACGTAAATGGGGTGGGAGTTCATAAGTTTTACTTCTTCCCACTCCATTTCAGGTCTGTATTGGGGGGGGGGGGGTGTATCTATGTCAAACTGAATTCTGTATGAACCTAAAACAAATATCTAATTTCATAAAAAATCTAGCAGAAGGCGCCGGTAGGTCACAGTACACAGGCAACCGGTAATGGCTGACAGGCAAGATGGCGGCCAAATAAATTTTGTGGCAGATTTTGCTACAAAAGCAAATATCTAAATGTTTTGAGTAGGTATAGGAAGCATGTTTATAATCCAAATAGATTGGATTCACCCGAGTCTCTCCATGTCTGCAGGCACCGCTCTTATCTACTGACCTCCACATTCCACTACTCAAGGCCAAGGATGGACTCTCCCAAAACTCAAGACTCTCAGTTCACCAGCTGTGGGACTCCCCACTCATTTTCTACCGCTCTCTTTCAGTCTATGGTCTATCTATCCCCCCAACCTCACCCACACTCCCCTCTGACATGCCACATTGGACGAGGCTGGTCAGAGTAGTGTCCCATTAAAAAAATCTGCATGTTTTACGCGTGGATCGTGTCTCTCCAAACAATATATATGTTTTGCTCTCTGCTGTTGAATAACTGCCATAAGAAGTATTGTCTATTTACAAGAAAAATATTAGTATATTATGCAGCAAGCCTTGATGTTTACTCATCAAACTTGAATTTCTCCATTGTGAGATCACTAAAGTACAGTATATTTCTCATCTCATCTCATTAAATCATGTGTCCAGTTAACCCTTTCCTGCTATCCTTGGGTTAAATTGATCCACTACAGCAGGTGTCTAACCTTTTTCACCCAAAGAGCTACTTTCCTGGGACAATAAAGGTAAAGAGCTAGTCCTTTAAGCAGCCTTGTGAAAGCTTTGGTGACATATTGGTGTGAACAAGCCTGATATTGGATACAGTCATTTCTCATTGCATATGTGTAACTCATGAAAAGGTGCGTGCATTTACAATAATAAATAATGCTAATGAATATAAATAAATAAATAAATAAAAATCGGAATTATAAGTATATCATTTTATTTTCTCATTTCTAAATCCTTTGGCGAGCTACAGGGGATGGCGAGCTACTGATGGCTCCTGAGTTACAGGTGGAGTCCCCTGCGCTACAGTGGTTAAAAAGTACTCTAAATAATTATTTTTGAGCTGAATTTTGATGACATCTCACAATTTGACTAGCCCTGAATCATTTAGACACTAATCACGACATGAAAATTACCTTATTTTGTAGTTTAAGAAGGTTAATCTTGTCTTCTTAATAAAATAGACAGTTATTTGTTTTTTCTATACCAGACAATTGTAAGATAGCAATGTTATTACCTAGACTTTCTAATATTTAGCTGGTGCGGCTTATATACAGGTGCGCTTAATAGTCCACCAAGTTGTGAGTTAGGATTTGCTTTGAATTAATGTACGTTTGCATCTTGAGTGACTACTTAGGTACATTTCTAGATTATTGAGTCATGCATTACGTTGGTAGTTGGTCTATTTTTTCATAGTAAATTTTTGTGATTCATTTAAAATAGTTATCAACTTATCTAGACTTGCATTTCCATTTGGTCTGTAGTTTTGGTGGGTGGAGATGGTAATGTGGTGACGGACAGTTTATGGACTCACCGGTTTGCAGTAGCTCTACGTCGTTTAGCAGCAGGTGAAAGTCGCCCTGTAGGTGCCGAGAGAAGATGGTATTTTAATATATTGTTAAATGTTGCATCAAACTCCCAAATAGAGGTGAGAGCAGACTAACCTCTATTTTGTGAAGAATTAATATTGGTTTCCTCTGGGACACGAAGCTTACAAGGTCCACAACGACGCTTTTTGTCTCTATGGAAAACCAAATCAGAATTTAGTGACGCAAACCAGGTCAAACACAGCGAGAGCCCCCATTTCAAACAGACTTGACTCGACCGCAAACTTTTGACTTTGGTTCTACCCTGGCCGAGCTGGTACTTAAGTGTTCTAACTGACAGTGATTGGCCAGAGTGCTGCTGGAAGCCATGGTTACTAAGGAATTTCCAGAGGTACTGTTTTGTTGTGGGTAGGTTGCTAGGATACAGTACCAGGTACTAAAGTGTAGTGGAAACACAACCAGGTAGAGTAGAACTGAGTAGAGTGAATTAGGGCTGGTGGAAATGGGGCTAATCATCAACAAATAAAGCATACAGTCTCCGTTTTGAACGTCTGTTACTTACTGGTTCGTTCTGGCTCTTCCTCTGCTCCCGCTTCTTTGTCATTGTTCCTCCGTTCAGCAGACTCTACCAATATTCAAAACATACGTTTTAGATTAAGTGAAGATGTGAAATATAATCTAAAATTATATATATATAAATAATCATAGATAATTCAATGTGTCCATCTAATATGTGATCCTGTTCTCCAAACTTCTCAAATCCATTAGGAGAAAATCCCTTTTTTGGTTACAAAAATCACAATCCAGAGGCCCTACTAACCTGCAATTCCAATTTACAGTATATTTTAATGGCTTTTCAACATCATGGCCAAGGGGACTACAGATGGAAATTAGCCTCCTTGGCCAATTCTGGCTTTTTTAACTCACTTAAAAACACACGTTTAATCGTGTGTTTTATTAAATTTCATTGTCCCCTTTGAAATAAACTAAACTGAAATTTACCACAGAACCCCAAAGACTATTTAAGTGTGATTGTGATGTATCTAGGCCTACTTACGAAACTTACCATAGAAACCCAAAGACTATTTAAAGCGATTTTGTTAGATTTTGTTGTCTCCCCTCCCCTCCCCTCCCCACCAACCAAAACATCCAGCATTTTCTTTTCTTGGTCACAACAAGGAGAGTGGGGGGCAAACATGAAATTGTAATTTTCTGTTCAGTCATTTAAAGTTTTAGAAAATCCGATAACTGCACTTGCGAGAAACAGAGGGTTCGCAGGGGATGAACGAATCCCATTGGTTTATTTTTATAGGTCGGCACTAAAATATTTGTTATTAATTTTTAGGGTTTAGAGACGTTTTCCCACAATATTTACAAAATGCGTCTGGAAATATCACCGACTGCATCTTTAATCAGAATCAGAATCATTTTTATTGCCACGTAAATAACAGGAGGTCCCAGACTAGGAAATTGCTTTGGCTCAGTGCAACAGTCAAAAAGAGATAATAAAAATAAGAATAAAAAACATTTCTTAAGTGTGATTGTGACAGGGCTGAAAAAACTAATCGATTAATCGACGACTAATTGATTATTGAAATAGTCGACAACTATTTTAGTAATCGATTAATCGTTTTCTGGTTCACACGGACTCAAACAGAGCAAAAATGACATGAAAATGTAGTATTTTTGATTAAAACAGACTTTGTTTTTATAATTTCATGAATATCAGATAGCAGAATTAGCACAAAGAGCCTGTTACAAACATTTACTTTAAGTTTACGCCATCAATACGTCCTCGAGTGTTGCCACTTTAGCTTTTTGTGATGAAAAAATAAACATTTTCTACACAATTCACAGCCAAGCGATTACTCGGTTAATCGTAAAAATAATCGATAGATTAATCGATTACAAAATAATCGTTAGTTGCAGCTCTAGATTGTGATGCATCTTGGCCTACTTACTGGGGGACATTTCCTCCACACTTTCCTCTCGGCTTTCTTCTCTCTCCTCGTCCTCCCCTTCACTGCTCAAGACGAGGTCTGACAGTTGATCCGTGGAGATATAGTTGGTCCTCCGTCTTTTTCGAGGACTAACCCATTTGTTAGGCTCATCATCTTTGCCCTTGACTTTTACCTCAGCTCTTCTGGTACGCATTATTTCCGTACTAAAAACAGAACAACAATTTCATATGCAACAATTTAAAAGTAGAAACACAAAAAACAAGTTTTACGACCGCTGGGGTAGCCAACTTCCCTGCTTTTTTAGAACTACATTAACAAATGTGTCCTTTCTTGAATTTAAATAATTCTTTGCCTTAAATGTTTATTTTGCGAAGTAACTCTTAGTGATATATATATAGCACATTCTCATGTCAGAAATTCCGAGTTGAGCAGCGGTCCTTCCCAAGTTGGAGTTTACCGAGATCACTTGAACGCAGCATTCCCATTGCTTTCTTTCAGGGACAAAAGCGGGAGAGTGAGGCGCATTCAGGTTTCCCTTGCTCATTATGCTTTAACTTTCCATGGCCATCCTAAATAAACGTTCAATTGTGACAAGTCGACACGTCGTCAAGGCTGACACGAGGAAAGCCCACCTGAGATTTGAGATCTGAGAGCAGCTGACGCGTGTTAGTTTAGCTATGGTCCAGTGCACCACTCACTGAGGATGACAACATCCTCCATGTGGCTTCTTTGGAGAAACTTATAGTAGGATAGGACGGGAAGATGTATGACAAGCACACGATGAAGTTTCAGGATTAGATAAAGAAAAGCCCAAAAGACTCACCACTTTATCCTCTTTGTTAGAAATGAAACAGGCTTTGGCGGCTGAATGATAAGGCAAACAGCTCATCCAAGCCCCGGCGATGCAAGATGGCGCCGTATGATTCAAATGAAAGGTTTGTGCTCAGTGGCGCAAGTGCCACTCCGCTCCGAGCCACGGTGATCCAAGATGGCGCGCTATTCAAATGAATGTCTTGTGCTCGGTAGCGCATGGGACATACACGGGGACCGAGAGATTAGCTGAACTCGCCCATATTTGGGTCTGGTTCTCCGCAGTGGACGAGTTCCCATGATGCGTTGTACCAAATACGCGTATGCACAGAGGGGCCGCGCTCTGACCAATCAGAGCTGCTGATCAGAGCAGCAGTAGAGCGAAGCCAAAGCGGGAAGGAAACAGCAGAGTTTGTGGCAGTAAAGTGTAGATTAAAAGAAAACCGAAGGATTTAACAAGAAAAAAAGTTCAGGATGACAAGTGACTCTAAAATCCCCACAAAATCCGACCTTTATGAAAGCTGTAGGTTCTCTGTCAGCTGAAGTCGAGCTGTTTTAGTTTACATTGAGTTCTTTGGGGAACATTTCTGGGTAGCCCTTGAATTCAGTCTCGTTTAGTCTGCAGTACCCCGAGAATCCCCCGAGCACGTGGGTGCTTCAGCTCTAAGCTAGTAAAACCCTATCCAGTTAATAGATCCATGAGCTTAACCTAGTGGGTTTCTTCTTCTGTGTATGTTTTCTTGCAGCCTGTACGCTTCAACGCGCAATTCTGCCCTCTCACCGTTTGGTAGTTATCGCAGTTTTAATATTATCGCAGTTATAATATTAGTTATCGCGTGTTTTAATATTTACAGTCTATGGTTTACAGTGTGTTTTACACTTGATTGTGAGGAAATACAATCAAAGAGCATCACCATCAGCTGTATACACAGCACCTCATCCTCAGGGGAGATTATGATCTCTTAACATGATTGTATAGACTTTCAATGACACAAAAGTTCCTCTTGTTTTAAATATATATCTACAGGTTAAAAGTAAGTCACCTAGATGTTAGATGTATTACATGTATACTCTCTATCTTCTGTTTGAATGCACAGAAGATAGATATGCAAAGAGTGTGTATTTGATCATGTGAATTCTGTGCATCTGGTATTTTTTCACTATCTATCTGCAGATTGCGTGTTAAGCAGGCCTTTTGCCTGATGAAGGTTGAATGCTGAAAAACTGCTGTGTGAATAACCTTTTACAGACAGAAAGTATTGACAGAGTTCGAGATTACTTGTTTGTTGTTTTGAAAATACATTTCTATGTCTTGTTTTGGCTTAGTGTAATTTGTTGATGTTGGGTTCCAAGTCCCAGTATGAATGAATGAATGAATGAATATTTTATTTAAGTGTCATGCACATATGTGCCCAGCCCACATGGGCTTATATGACACTATAAACATAACTTGGAAGACGACCATTTAAACAATATGTTCAATATACAATATACATTTTACATTTTCCTAGTAAATCCTGTTTTTGGTATATATTGATATATATCAATATGACTAAAAATGGTACTAAAGAAGTTCCTGGTACCTAGTTACTTTTTATCACAAGTATCTGTAATTTCTACCCTTTACATTTTTCTAAATGACTATTAACTTTGCAGATGGTGACATGGAATAAAAACAGGTTTGGGCCAAGTGTATTCATTACCTATGTTTAGCGGCGCTTCTCAGTTCTGCAAATGTGGTTTATTGTAATTTTCTCATTTTTCTACAACGGTTAAATTATCAAAATGTCTCATTGTTTCATTTATAAAACATGTTTACATACAAACACATACAACAGCTTGTAATTTTGTTCTCTCACTTAAAGGTGCAGTAAGCGATTTTGTTAGCTTAGCCATAGCACCAACTTGAAACCACTCCCCCCCCCCCCTGGGGGCTCTGGAGCTGAGTCGGCTTGGTAAAGAGAAAAGCGCTGGTTACCTTAGCAACACACCGTTTACTTGCAGCATTTAGCCTTTAAACAAACTTTTTTTTCTTTAGTTCAAGTTACATTGACCATATTTTTGCACTAAAAGTGAGCGAAGGCATACATTTTAAATTACTTTCTTGCATTAATTCTGGTGTAAAACCTTTTGGAGGAAATTTCTCTTAGTTTAAATGAGAGCAGTCAAAATGAAGGATCTAGGAGTTTCATAAAAATGGGAGTCCTATAGTGTAAATGTGCTTATATGAACAGTAGAGAGGTGACATGAAGTTCAGGGAATTACACAGAACTTTTTATAAAATTGTGGATTTTGACATTATGGACTTATTCTTTTTATTTAGTATTAGTAAACATTATGAATAGTATTTCTTGTTTTAGAAGGAGTGGGAAGTACGTGTAGTGTAAAAATAGATCCACCAGAGTGCTTTGATCTTTCACGAGTATTGTGTCCAGTTAAAACAGTCGTCCAATCGTTTTGCTCCATCAGCTGACTTTTATTGGGGCGACAGTGGCTCAGTTGGTAGAGCATTGGTTTTTGAGCCTGAATGTCGTGAGTTCAAGACTTTCTCCACTGACTCGGCTGCAGCTGTAAAGTGCCAAACTGCCGCAAAACACTTCACCCCTATTGCCTAGAATGAGTCTGGTGTGGTTGATGGTGGTTGGAGGGGCCGATGGCACATACTGGTTACCTCGCTTCTGTCAGTGTGCCCTAGGGCAGCTGTGGCTACAGTTGTAGTTTATCTCCACCGTTTATGGAGTGAATGAATAATGAAGTTTGAAGTGTCTTTGAGTGTCAAAAAAGAGTTACATAAAATCAATGCATAATTACAAATGTACTTTCTTTTCAAATTCAGCTGGTTTGGCTTATAATAAATAAACTCTTAAACTCTGAGATATACTGCCTTATACTACAGCGGCATTCTCAAGTCATTCTAAGGACACACTAACTTTAGTTAAACTTTTCTATCTAATATATATATATATATATACACATATATATATATATATATAATGTGTATATATATATATATATATATATATATATATATATATATATATATTATTGTCATGTTTGTTCTGTTTGGGGTTGTACTTTTGTGTTTTGGTTTTATGTCGTGTTCTTTTTGAATGTTTGGCTGTCTGTAAAATAAATGTAAAAACCCCTAAAAATATGTATCATCTTTGAATCTGTGACTATTTTAACTTAAAAATGTGAATGAATGGTTATAACAAATTATTTGACCTGCATTTGGACCTTACCATCTAAAAGAAAAGTAATGCACAGACTTGTTAAATGTTATTAATCACACAAGTTATAGTAATAGGTGTAAAGGCTTGGAAAAAAAATAATGAAATTGATTATAATATTAGTGCTGCGGTCTCCAACCTTTTTCGGTAAGAGCTACCTTCACACAACAGAAATGGCAGAAAGGTACTCCCTTTTATTGTAATATTAAAAATGTAGTAAGGCAAACTACATTTAACACTTGTATTCCAGACAAACCATTATTTACACCCTACATTAGTGCACATAAGGAAAACATTGATAGTGAAAATATGAAATGACTCAACATTGAATTATTCAGTATCATGTGTCCTGGATCCTTCGGGGGAGCTCCTTGAAAGGGTGAGATACTGCTAGCTCCCGAGCCACAGGTTGAAGACCGTTGTATTAGAGTAAAGCAGGCGTGTCAAACTCATTTTGGCCAAGGGCCGAATAAAAACAAGAACTGGTCTGGCCGAAAGAATTAAAGGGATTTCCTTTTTCTTATAATTGTTTTGACATGGCTTTTATGTGATATTAGTTTTAATATTATTCTACGGTTGATTTTTCTGAAAACAGAATGTGCTTATTGTTTAGATTTAACCAAAACTGGACCAAATTTCAAACACATTGTTCTAAATTGATCTATTTAATCTCTAATAAGAAAGTACGTAATCTTTATTTATATAGCGCCTTTCATAGACCATTGACTAGTTATGTGTTCTGTTAAAATTTTATAATAAAATAACATGCCTTGGTCGCCCATCACCATCAATGCTGCTAAAGTTGATGATAATAATTGACAATCCTTTTAGGGGCCACTTAAAATGGTCTTGCGGGCTGGATTTGGCCCACAAGCCTGAGTCTGACATGCCTAGAGTAAAGCAATAGTACAAAGTAGTGTGGTTATTGACATCAATCAAATATCACCGTCATTGAAAGAAATATTGAATTTCACTGTTCACTGACAATTCCTCACCACACATTTGACAACAGCACTTTTAGAATCCCGACCTTGACCCGTTGGTCACTTCCTGTCCGCCAGTCTCTGTAACAGCGCTATGACCGTGTCCTGCTTGGATGACAGCAGCTCTAAGGCCGTGGCTACTCGGCTCAGTGACTCTGCCATCCTCTGCTCCCTCCTCTCGCGCCTCTTCTCCCTGGCCTCCGTCCTGCGTCTGGACACCCGCTCCAGATAGGCCTGCTCCTCCTGCCTCTTCAGGACCTCCTTGACCAATGCGGTGGCGGTCTGCTCCTCACTGCCTTTATGGGACGGTTCGTTTCCTCCGGATGCAGCCGAGAGCGAGATGGCGGTGGAGGACGTGAGGCAGGAGTTGTTGGGGCTAGAGACGCTTTTGTTAAACTGTGCGTTGCTAAGACGGAGCGGCAGGAGGCTGGAGGAGAGATTCGGAGCTTTTCGAGTGATGAAGCGGGCCTTGCTGAGGTCTATGTTCCCCGCCGTCGTGACGACCGCAGATGCTTTATGAGAAGAGGATGCTGAGCTGGTTGTCGTCGCCTGGAGACCGCTTGTAACTATATCACCGTTGAGAAATATAAGGGGCTTAATGTCTGCTGCGGTGGAGGGGCTGATGGTCACCGTGGTAACCGAGGTAGTGGGTGGGGTCGGTGTAGGGGGCTGGATGGCGGTCTGGGGGATGTGTGGTTTCACTGTCACCTTGGACACGGGGCCGGGCTGCGGGCACGAAGGGTTCGAGGGTTTGGGCCGTTTGTTGTTGACGATCTGGGAGCCGACCGTGTCGCAGAGAGTGGCGTCCATGAGCTGGAGACAGAAAAGAATATGTCAGTACTGTACTGTGTGGCGTTTCTGGGGTGCATGAGACTGGTTCATAGTTCTTGAGATGGGACCATGTGTACCTCTGCTTCCGCACTTCCAAAACATGAACTTGAAATATTTAAATAAAGCTTATAGGTATAGATCAAAATTATATATTGCAAATTAGAAATAGTAGTTTCAATAATGACAACGATTCAGGCATGTCCAAATTATGGCCCTCAATTACCTTGATATTGGGAATTTTTTTTAAATTATTTTTATTACAATTACTCTATCTCGGTTCAGTATGGTACTGCATTATTGCTGCATTGAGGTTAGGTGGTTCTACACAACTGAAAGCTTTATTCAGCCTGTGAACCCGTCTGTGGTTCTTTCATGAAAACCGATGTTCCTGAACTATTTGGTGTCTTTGTAATTGCCAGACTATAAGCCACTACTTTTTTTGAAGTTCTTTTAAACACTGAGGCCTCTACAGCGATGCCTATGTATGCTGTGAAGCCATTGTATGTACTTTTATTGTTTTACAATATAAGTACATACAGGACAAAGGAAAGGACATTTGGAAAAAAGGTATTGTTTATGTTTATGTGAACAGCAGACAGACGATGCAAGGAAACCCTGGAAAAGACACAGGACAAGGACTGATTAGAGCTGTTGTCTGAGCAGTTTATGGACTAATTAGACTCCCAAATTTTGGTAGCTATAGAACCCATGTATATTGTCAAAAAAGATTGGTAAATGAGTCCCGACATGAAAGCTAACAGTTAAAGTTAGCGTATTTGTCACTCGCACGTTAAACACTAAATCATGTTGTGTCCAGTTAAAACAGTTGTCTATTATTTAGTTTGCAATTTGTATTATATTTTGGGGGAATTTGAATTACATTTGCAGTTCAGAGTCTGTGTTTTGTTTTTGATAATAGCAAAATCCGTGCCAATCTTCAGCCTAAACACTTTCAGCCACAAATGTTATTGAGTAATGAACAGGAAATCATGATGTTGATTTTGTTGATAAAAACATTAGTTGGCTGAATTTATTTGTTTAATCAACTAGTTGTTTGAGTCACAAAATACCTGTAAATATCAGAATTTTAAATAGATTTTACAAAAGCAAGGCCAAGAATCTGACATGAGAACATCTTATAAACGAGCTATAACAAAATTGGTTGGTTATTTGATATACATGTTTATGCATTTACAATTATATTTGTGAAACTACAGCTTTGTTGGGAACCATAAAACTTTTCAAATTTAAGCTTAAAAATAGCTGTTGTTCACAAAATAATTAAATCAATCACTTGGGGATTCTCAGAACAGCAGAGAAAACCCTTGCAGCTCTACATAAACATCACTAATGTATTATGGTAGTTTCAACATCCGGTAGGAAGGGAGGGGAAGAATTTGTGTGGAACATTATTGATTAAGCCAAATAAAACTCTGTCTTTCATGAGGAAACATTGTTGCATAGTTTATATGTCCTATAAACACAATACTGAGATACAAAGAACTCTTATGTGTCTTCTTGTATCTCATGTAACTTAACTCACATCAAAAAACTCCCATGACGTCTTGGCGTGTCCCGTCTCCCTGGTGCGGTCCTTGACCCTCTTATAGGTCACTATCAGGTTGTTCCATTTGCGGCGGATTTTTTCTACAGGAAGCAAATGTCCTTTAGAGGCCATTTCCTCCTGGACGCTCTGGAAGAGTTGAGATCGCTCCCGAGTGTCATAGAGCCCCCAACGTCGACCCACCGCCTCAATCAGGCACAGCACTGCTTTAGATGAGAAGTCAGAGCCGGAGGGAAGGGGCTTCTCTGAAGGGCCAGTGGACATCCCAGAGGCTGCAGCACACAGGAAGGATCAGCAATGCAACAGGTACAACTCCCATACTGTCATATGTGCATATAACTAAGTTCACTTAATAGATTAGTCTTTAGGGTATTTGAATAGGTATATTCAAGAACAGAAATCATTTGCATGTGCATCAGTAGATTGAGGTGAGTGCAGATGGAATTATCATAAAGCATTATTCTTGTACCTGGTGCAATCTTTAGATAAGTCTTCCCATCTGCTGCTGTGGTGAAGAAGCGTTCTGTGTTTACAGGGTCTGAACAGAGCACAGGACACAGATGAACAGTCCGCTCTATAGTGACGTTGGATGCACAGATGCCATACTCACAGAGCAGCACGGGGGTGCTGGTCGGGCCGTGCGTCTCTGCAGATGCTCCTCCCCCTCCTCCTTGCGCCGCGCTCACGCTGTGGGGCGCAGGCGGCTCCTGGCTGCTCACGGCTGCTGCAAATGGCTTCACGTCCTCCTCATCAAGGATCATCGCTGTCGAAGCTCCGTCTTCGCTGCTCCCCAGTGCAGTGTCCATGTTTCCCGCAGAGACTCCTCATGAGCCACACGGACGAGCAACGCTGTCCTTCTCTGCGCAGGTGGAGATTTGGGGAAAGTTTACAGATGGCGAGAGGCAGTCCGTAGCCGCTGCCTGTTGGGAGTTGGCAGCATTTCACTAAATCACTATTTAGCGCAAAGTGTTTCTTCATAAATCGCAGTCCTGCTCTGTTGCGTGTGTTTCTGAGAAGAGAAATGGCTGTCCTTCGCCTTCGGATGCGCAGAGCGACTGCGCAGCTCTCTGCGCACATTTGCTGCTGGCAACTGTGCCGTCAGTGACGTACACTGCAGAGGACTGAAGCCACAGTGCAGGGGGAGGGAGGGAGAGGCGCTATTCTGTTCTACAGGCATCGTTCAAATTATTCAGCCCAGCAATCTGAGGCCTCAACACGATATATATTGAACTATTTCACATTTGAAACAGGACTGGAGGAACTGGTGTCCACTCTGCATGAGGCCAGGGAAAGTAGATATTGGAGAAACTCAAACATGCATCTATCACAAGCTGGGTATAGAAATGTGGGGACCTCAGGGAAATGTACAAACATGTTATGGCAATCTTCCTTCATCCACACAAAATTCCCTTTAAATGTCCTTGAATGTTGGGCTGTTGTATTTTGACACGTTTGGGGCGTCAACTGAACCAGAAAACTTTTTCCACCTCCCACTTATTGACTCCAGTTTATATCAAGTTTGATGCAGAATTTTTTTCCAGAATCAGAAATATGATTCGTTTTTTGTTCCACGGCGAGTAACAGGAAGTCACAAGAGGAAGTCATAGACTGGGAATCTACTTTAGTATATGGTGCAAACAAGTGATAAAGTTAAAAAAAAACATTCAAAATGAGTATATATTTCATATATTAATGCACACAAGACACTTCACAGAGTAGATGATGAAAACACTGGACACTTATTGATTAAGTAGTTGAACGAAGTTTTACCCAACTGGGAGTACACGGACCCTGAGAGGTCTAATGAGTCTGCTTCTATATCTACTTTTTAGATCAGGCATAAATCCGGCCCACAAGACCATTTTTAGTGGCCCCTGAAATTATTTTCAATCATCATCACAGTAACTTGCAGCATTGAGGGTGATGGGATACTACCGGATTTTATATATTTAACTATCAATCTTCCAATACATCTCATTCTTGATATTTGGCCCAGGAAAAAAAAAACAAAAAACAACTTATACTTCTGGCCTAACCAGCTCTTTAACTTTGGCCCACGACCAAAATGAGTGTGACAGCCCTGGTTTAGATCATGGTGCAACTGAAAAGGAAACATGTTTCTAAGTCTCGGTGGAAGTGTTATACTTTTATACAACAGAAATGTTTCTCATTGCAAAAGAAAAACACACTGCTCAATTAGACTCACATCATATGTGTTTTTTTATTTTTTATTAAAGTCATGATATTTTTATTTTATTTATACTTTATTGTGTCATATTTTCATTAGTTCACACTTTTTTCATATACATATATACATACATACATACAGCTTAACAAGACACACTGTGCTCCTTGTGTCAAGAAGGGTAAAACAAAACAAAGCAAAACAAATACATATATAAATAAATGAAAAAATAGAATAAAATAAAAACAATATGAAAGTAAAAATATTGAATACTACAAGCAATGAATGGTTATTCCTATGGCTATATGTTGAATAGAATTGACATACTAACAAATAGAATGTGATGTTGATTTAGCCAATCTTCCTCTACTGTGTCTATGTGTCCAATGTCCATATTTGTTAAGTTCACATTTATATATACATAAACATATACACAGAAATGCCCATACACATGTATACATACACACATACATACAACCACATACACGACTACATACTTACAGTGCCTTGCGAAAGTATTCGGCCCCCTTGAACCTTTCAACATTTCGCCACATTTCAGGCTTCAAACATAAACATATAAAATTTTAATGTTTGTCACGAATCAACAACAAGTGGGACACAATCGTGAAGTGGAACGAAATTTATAGGATAATTTTGTTTCTTTGTTAACAATTAAAAAACTGAAAAATGGGGCGTGCAATATTATTCGGCCCCTTTACTTTCAGTGCAGCAAACTCACTCCAGAAGTTCAGTGAGGATCTTTGAATGATCCAATGTTGTCCTAAATGACTGATGATGATAAATAGAATGCACCTGTGTGTAATCAAGTCTCCGTATAAATGCACCTGCTCTTTGATAGTCCTCAGGGTTCTGTTTAAAGCGCAGAGAGAACCATGAAGACAAAGGAAGCACCAGGCAGGTCCGAGATACTGTTGTGGAGAAGTTTAAAGCCGGATTTGGATACAAAAAGATTTCCCAAGCTTTAAACATCTCAAGGAGCACTGTGCAAGCAATTATATTGAAATGGAAGGAGTATCAGACCACTGCAAATCTACCAAGACCCGGCCGCCCCTCCAAACTTTCATCTCAAACAAGGAGAAGACTGATCAGAGATGCAGCCAAGAGGCCCATGATCACTCTGGATGAACTGCAGATAACTACAGCTGAGGTGGGAGAGTCTGTCCATAGGACAACAATCAGTCTGCACAAATCTGGCCTTTATGGAAGAGTGGCAAGAAGAAAGCCATTTCTCAAAGATATCCATAAAAGTCTCGTTTAAAAGTTTGCTACAAGCCACCTGGGAGACACACCAAACATGTGGAAGAAGGTGCTCTGGTCAGATGAAACCAAAATCGAACTTTTTGGCCACATTTATTCTTAATATAATTAAACAGGCAAAGGGAAATTCTAAAAAGCTGTGGCAAACGATAGATACAATTACAGGAAGAGGGAAACCAAAATGCAAGACCATAGAGCTTAAAATAGATGAAACTTACATTAAGGATGGTATAGTTGCTGATCACTTCAGCAATTATTTTATAGACTCTGTGAACGACATCACATTGCAAACCTCTGGATTCCTTCATTTGTTCTCACCACCTGCATTCTTCTCCAGTACTGCACTAAAATTCAAAAGTATTGATAATGCCAAAATAGGTAAAATAATACAATCTTTATCAAATTCAAAGGCTAAAGACTACTGGGGACTTGACAACACACTTATCAAAAAACATAGGGAGACTCTAACAACAACAATAACCCAAATTGTGAACAAATCTATTAATGAAAGTGTGTTCCCTAGTGTCTTCAAAACAGCAGTTATAACTCCAATTCATAAATCTGGTAGCAAAAATGAGGTTAGTAACTATAGGCCCATTAGTTTACTACCTGTAGTATCAAAAATATTAGAAAAACTAATCATAGAGCAGTTAACGGAACATCTAAACGATAATAATGTTTTGCATCAAATGCAATTCGGTTTTCGCAGACATCATTCCACTGATGCTGCCTGCTGCTACCTGACAGAGAGCATCAGGGCCGGCATGGACAAGGGGGGCACGGTGGGTGCCGTGTTCTTGGACTTACGAAAGGCCTTCGACACGGTAAACCACTGTGTCCTCCTGTCCCGGCTTGCTCAGTGTAATCTATCCAGTGAAGGACTGGAGTGGTTCCAGTCATACCTTACTGACCGGGTGCAGTGTGTGAGAACAAATAATGCAACATCCTCCTTTAAACTTTGCACAACCGGGGTCCCACAAGGGTCAATCCTGGGGCCCTTGCTGTTCAGCATTTATATAAATCACCTCCCTGATGTGTGCAAAGACCTGGATATAATTATGTATGCAGATGATGCCGTCATCTTCACACATGGAAGGGATATGCAGACAGTGGCCGCAAAGTTGTCTTCAGTATTGGACAAAATCCAAAATTGGCTCCAATCTTCATGCCTGACATTAAACACTAGTAAAACAGTTGGCATGTATTTTCATAAAATAAATAATACTAAAGAGATGCCTAACATATATGTAAATGGAGAGACACTAAAAAATGTAACGGAAACAAAATACTTAGGGCTCTATTTAGACCAAACACTGACATTCAAAAAGCATGTTAAAAAAGTAACCAACACAATTAAATATAACATTTCCTCTCTAAAGCATATGAGGAACAGCCTGACAGTCGAGGCGGCTTTCACTTATTTCAACGCCATGATAATTCCTCACTTTACTTACTGTTTATCTAGCTGGTCGCAGGCAAAGGAGACCACGCTCAAACCACTCAGATCTGTGTACAATCAGGCTTTAAAGGCACTTGACAAAAAACCACTTCGTTATCATCATTGCAATATCCTGAGTAAGTTCAAACTGCTCAGTTTTGACAATATAATTATATATAATAATCTAAGAACTATATTCAAAATCACTAATAATACAGCTCCACCACCACTGAAGAACTTTGTCAGACTTTGTTCTGAGCAAAATACGAGAGCCACTCGGTCCACTGCAAATAAAAACTGTGTAATCCCAAAAAGATCCTCGGCCTTTGCACAATGTGCCTTCTCATTTCGCTCCATTAAACAGTGGAATGAGCTTCCAGACTGTCTGAAACTGTCTGTAGATCATAATAGTTTTACTCGAAATTTGAAAAAGTATATTTTAGATCATCAATTGTGTCAGCATTGATGAATGTATTGTAAACTGTAGGTATTGTTTATGTTTTTTTTAGAAGTGTACAGAAAACGAATGTATTTTATATAGTGATTTTATTGTAGATTAGCTTTATAGATTGTAATGATTTTTGTACTCAGCTGTCCAGGGACTGCAGATGGAAAATAGCTACTTTGCTAAATCTGGTACAAATCATCTCTTCTTTTGTAAAGACTAATAGTTTTGTACACTGTCCCTGTTTCAATAAACAATAAACAAACAAACAAACAATGCAAAACGATATGTTTGGCGTAAAAGCAACACAGCTCATCACCCTGAACACACCATCCCCACTGTCAAACATGGTGGTGGCAGCATCATGGTTTGGGCCTGCTTTTCTTCAGCAGGGACAGGGAAGATGGATGGAGCCAAATACAGGACCATTCTGGAAGAAAACCTGTTGGAGTCTGCAAAAGACCTGAGACTGGGACGGAGATTTATCTTCCAACAGGACAATGATCCAAAACATAAAGCCAAATCTACAATGGAATGGTTCACAAATAGACGTATCCAGGTGTTAGAATGGCCAAGTCAAAGTCCAGACCTGAATCCAATCGAGAATCTGTGGAAAGAGCTTAAGACTGCTGTTCACAAACGCTCTCCATCCAACCTCACTGAGCTCGAGCTGTTTTGCAAGGAAGAATGGGCAAGAATTCCAGTCTCTCGATGTGCAAAACTGATAGAGACATACCCCAAGCGACTTGCAGCTGTAATTGCAGCAAAAGGTGGCGCTACAAAGTATTAGCGCAAGGGGGCCGAATAATATTGCACGCCCCACTTTTCAGTTTTTTATTTGTTAAAAAAGTTTAAATAATCCAATAAATGTTGTTCCACTTCACGAATGTGTCCCACTTGTTGTTGATTCTTGACAAAAAATATAAATTTTTATATCTTTATGTTTGAAGCCTGAAATGTGGCAAAATGTTGAAAGGTTCAAGGGGGCCGAATACTTTCGCAAGGCACTGTACATACACGTGCATACACATACACAGACATATAATAATATGGATTCAAGATGGCGCCTCGTACGGTCGACATGGCTCTTTGCTGCTCTCTTTTTCTTTTGTTTTTACTTTTTAACTGTGCATCTGGCTGTTCCTACACCCGTGAGGAACTTATGAACATCCGACCCACCGTTCCCATGGACCTATTGCCTGTTTTCTTGGCATCTGCGGCTGATTTAGTTCATGTTCTAGCCAAAAAAGTGTGGGCCCGTAAAAGGGGAAAGCGAGGAGGCCTGCTCGTGCGTCTCAGGAGGAGAGGAGCGCGCACGGCTCTCCCCGGCATTTTTCTCTCCAACGTACGCTCACTGGGCAATAAGATGGACGAACTCAGCCTGCTCATGAGAAGAAACAAGGACTTCGCCACATCCTGTGTCCTCTGCTTCACTGAGACCTGGCTAAATGAGCGGATCCCGGACTGCGCTCTGGAGCTGCAGGGCTTTGGGCTGTTTCGCGCGGATCGCCATTGTGCGCTCTCAGGGAAGAGCAGAGGCGGAGGGCTCTGTTTCTACGTCAATACAAACTGGTGTAACGATGTGACAGTGATCTCCAAGCACTGCTCTCCTGCTCTGGAATATCTTTTCATTCATTGTAAACCATATTACTCCCCGCGGGAAATTGTTTCATTCATTCTTGCCTCTGTTTACATACCGCCATGCGCGGACGCGCGCGAGGCTCAGCGCGCACTCGCAGAGCAAGTACTGTGTATGGAACGCTTATACCCGGACTCTCTGATTATTATCCTGGGGGATTTTAATAAGGGAAACTTGAGCCAGGAATTACCCAAATACAGACAGTTTATCAAATGCCCGACCAGAGAGGAGAACACTCTGGATCACTGTTACACCACCGTGCGCGGAGCTTTTCGCGCTGTTCCCAAGCCAGCCCTCGGCTTCTCAGATCACTCCATGATACATCTGGTTCCTGCTTACAGACAGAGACTAAAGCTCTCGAAACCTGCAGTGAGGAGCTCCAAAGTGTGGTCTGATGAAGCTGTGGAAGAGCTGCGCGCATGCATGGAATGTACAGACTGGGACCTTTTCAGAGCTGCCACAGACAGCTTGGATGAATATACGGACACTGTGACGTCATACATCCACTTCTGTGAGGATAGCATCATTCCAACAAGGACCAGGGTCATCTATAACAACGACAAACCCTGGTTCACTGCTAAACTCCGGCAGCTCAGGAAAGCAAAGGAGTCTGCTTTCAGGGAGGGGGACCGCAGCGGCTACAAAGCAGCTAAATATCAGTTCAGGAGAGAACTGAAAGCAGCCAAGTCCCGGCACAGAGAACGACTACAGGAGCAGTTTGGTAACAACGATACTGCTTCTGTCTGGAGGGGCCTACGGGAGATCACCAACTACAAACCCAAAGCCCCCCCCTGTGCTGATGACCACAAGCTAGCTGACGATCTGAACTTATTTTTCAGTCGCTTTGATGCTGCCCCTGACACCTCTCCCTCCCCCACCCCCCACCTACTCTAACGACCCACCCATCAGCCCTGCCCCCAGCCTAACAATAGCCGCTAAAGAGATTAAACAACTCTTCCTGAGGCTGCACCCCCGCAAAGCTCCTGGCCCGGACCACGTGTCTCCGGCCACTCTGAGACACTGCGCCAGTGAGCTTACTCCTGTGTTCACTGACATTTTCAACACCTCTCTGCAGTCCTGCCATGTCCCGGCCTGCTCCAAATCCTCCATCATTGTCCCCGTCCCGAAGAAGCCCAGGATCACAGGACTCAATGACTACAGACCTGTAGCACTTACGTCTGTCGTCATGAAGTCATTTGAACGCCTGGTTCTCTCCCATCTCAAGTCCCTCACCTCCCCCCTCCTGGACCCCCTGCAGTTCGCCTACAGAGCCAACAGATCTGTAGACGACGCCATTAACCTGGCCCTCCACCACATCCTACAGCACCTGGACTCCCCGGGGACCTACGCCAGGGTCCTGTTCGTGGACTTCAGCTCTGCCTTCAACACAATCCTGCCATCCCTGCTCCAGGACAAGCTCTCCCAGCTCAACGTGCCCGATTCCACCTGCAGGTGGATCACTGACTTCCTGACGGACAGGAAGCAGCGAGTGCGTCTGGGGAAGAATGTCTCGGACTCTCGGATTATAAATACAGGAGCCCCACAGGGCTGTGTTCTTTCTCCCCTGCTCTTCTCCCTGTACACCAACCACTGCACCTCCAGCCACGACTCCGTGAAGCTGATCAAGTTCGCGGACGACACCACCCTCATTGGACTCATCTCCAACAACGATGAGTCCGCCTACAGGAGGGAGGTGGACCGGCTGGTGTCCTGGTGCAGTGGTAACAACCTGGAGCTGAACGCCCAGAAGACAGTGGAGATGATTGTGGACTTCAGGAAGAGCACTGTCCCCCCGCCCCCACCCTCCGTGATGGACTCCCCCATCACCTCTGTGGAGTCCTTCCGTTTCCTGGGCACCACCATCACCCAGGACCTCAAGTGGGAGCCGACCATCAGCTCCCTCATCAAGAAGGCCCAGCAGAGGATGTACTTCCTGCGGCAGCTCAGGAAAGCCAAGCTGCCTGCACAGATGTTGGTGCAGTTCTACACGGCCATCATCGAGTCCATCCTCACCTCCTCCATCACCGTGTGGTTCGCTGGAGCCACAGTCAGGGACAAACAGAGACTACAGCGCATCGTGCGCTCTGCAGAGGAAGTGATCGGCCGCAGCCTTCCATCGCTGCAGGACCTGTACGTCGCCCGAGCTCGAGGCCGGGCTGGTCGTATCACAGCCGACCCTTCTCACCCTGCACATGGACTATTCCAACCACTCCCCTCAGGCAGGAGGCTGCGGTCCATCAGGACTAGAACCTCCCGCCACAAGAACAGTTTCTTCCCCTCTGCTGTTGGACTCTTGAACACTTCTTAACCTGTCCCCCCGCCCTTTATAAAGTCACTTTACTGCCCATCATACGTCACTTTACTTCACTGTACTGCTGTCACCTTACATTGTGTGCACCATGTGCACTTGTATATTGTAAATAGTAACTGTAACTCTATTTTAAATTTAAATTTATTCTTTAGAAGTGTTTTTTATTCTTATTTTTATTATCTCTTTTTGACTGTTGCACTGAGCCAAAGCAATTTCCAAGTCTGTGACCTCCCGTTACTTACGTTGGCAATAAAAATGATTCTGATTCTGATAATCACACACACCTGTAGACACAATATTTTTCTCATATTTCTCTTAGTAAGCTATCTCCCTATCTAGTTTTATGATTATTGCTGAAATAAAATGCCTTAATATTTTTCATTGTTATTGGGTGGGAACATTTAAGTAAATGTATCGTCGAATTTGTGCCATTTTCTCCTGAATTCATCTTCCTCATTATTAATCTTGCGTGACAGTTTCTCTTTCTCATTAGCTGAACCTCGTGAATTGCTTCCATCCAGTTTTGGATTTTGGGGATGTTGGTTGTTCTCCAGTTTTTGGTAATTTGTTTGAGGGCAGTTATTCTCATTATCCAGAAAAGGTATTAATTAAAAGGTAGTTAATATTCCCAGTAATAATGTTTTGTCTTTGTGTAGGTTTATGTTTCTAAGTACTTGGGTTATATTTATTTTCACCTCCGTCCAATAGTCTTTAATTTTCGTACAGGTCATAAAAATATGTCTATAGTCCGCCTCTTTCTCCCCACACTTCCTCCAACATTCTCCCAGGTTCTTGTTCTTTGTGTACTTTGAGATTGCTTTAGGTGTTTGGAAGAACCTCAAATGTAGTTTCCAAGCAAACTCTTGCCAATATGGTGATTGTATGCGAGAGTCGTTTTGCTTTAAGCTTTTGTACCACTTGTCGTTATCAATACTTTCCTCTAGTTCCTTTTCCCACTTCACCTTGGTTGTTTCACCATTTCAATGTAATGTTTTCAGCTCACTTTCTTAAATGGGGCGCTTCCAGCTTCTGTGTCTTGTCTCACAGGCTCCCCCTGGTCCAGCAGCCCGGTTTCCTTCAGGGAACGGGATGCGTCTTCTAGACTTGAGAAGATAGTCTCTTTGACGTCCAGGAAGACACGTAATTTCGCTGGGTAAACAATGTGAGACCTCACGTTCTTCTCCCGTAGTTGTTTACGTAGCGAGGAATAACTGCTCCGTTCGGCTTGTATTTTGGAAGAGAAGTCTTGCGAGAAGAAGATGCGGTTCCCCCCTACTACGATCTCCTTTTTGGACCAGGCCACTTGTAGAACTTTCTGTCTCATTCGCCATTCCTGGAAGCGGATTATTATCGACCGGGGAGCAGCGTTTCCACTTGTTGGTCTCTGGGTAAGTGACGTATGTGCTGCGTTTATGATGATTAATGTGTGTTGTCCCGATCAAATAAATAAATAAATTTCTTCTGTCGGGAGCCCCAAGGTCTCTTTAAGGAGTTTTAAGATGAAAGGAGTCATCTCGTTTCCTTCCAGACCTTCCTTTACTTGGTAAATCCGTATGTTGTTTTGTATCGACTTGTTCTCAAGATAATCCAGCTTCTCAGTCATTTGTCGTTGTTCTTTTTGTAATTGTTCAATAATTATATTTGTATCGCGCTCTCTGGTTTCCAGTTTGTCAATACGCTGTTCTGCCACGGTCAGATCTTTACGTATCTCATTAAAGTCTTCACGTAGGGTTTTCATTTCAGTGGCGTATCCTTCCAAGTCCACGCGCACTTCTATAATTTGACTCACAATATCCTCTTTGAACTAAGTGAGCATAGTTTTTAAGATGGTCTCAAGACTTGCCATCTCGTCTGCGTTTGTCCCACGCAGGGGACTGCTTTTGCGCAGAAGGCTTTTGCGCAGAAGGCTGCTTTTGCGCCACCGGCCCCAATCTCAAATTCATTCTATTTACTAGACTTGTCAAAGAGTTTGGTTCGAGACTCTTTGAATATGGAAATTAGACAGTGATTTTAAGATTTAGTTACAGTGACATGCTCACACGCTCTGCGTGCTCACCGGAAGTTGTGATGGCATTGGGAAAGTCATATTTTAAGAAAAAAGCACAAGACAATACTGCACATTATTATTTAAAAAGAGTTAAATTCATCCTAAAAACATGTATAATTTTGTGAATACCTTATATCAATTGACATAATATTTTAAATATTAATGCATTAATGCATTAAAATGTAAAATAAAAATAAATAAATAAAAATGCCACTGCAGAAATGCATGTTAATCCCATAATACCAGAAATTGGAGACCTGCCAATCAATAGTGTTACTGCCAATTAAAGCTGCACTAACTGATTTTGAGACATTTTCAAACGCGAGCGATGTGCTCCCTCTCTTTGCTCGCCTTGATGTTTCTTTGTCGAACTAATTTCCCCACTGTGGCACGAATAAAAAGGTAAAAGAAAAATCCTTTCTTCCACTCATGAACTTTAAGAGTATTTCACCTTGTTCAGGCCCCAGCAGCCACCACTCTTTTACATGGGCCGATCATGCCCCTGGGGTGGGTCACATCCCACTGCCCGAGGAGACAGTCACAAAGCATTCAGACGGAGCTCAGGACTATTGAGTATGGCGTATGAAGTTTGGAGGCCGGTGGCAAGACTCACAATGATCCACCATGTTGTACCTGTGGAGTTGGGGAATTGCCACGATTGACAATGAGGGAGACTTGTGCTTGTGAACATACAGTATCTCACTTGAGATTAGTTGGTTGGATGCTAATCTGTAGCTAAACAAATTTCCCATTGAGGGACATATAAAATTATTTCTGATTCTGATGTTTCTTGTTGGATCTTAAACATGGTGTTCAATTCTTTTTCAAAATGCTCCTTTAATTTTGTTCCAGTAGAAAGAAATTCAGGATTATCCTGCAAAAAATGACAATATTTTGTTGACAAGGTTTTGAGAAATGATCAAATGCAGATGAAGACAACCTACCCGGTTATACGAGGCACAGTTTCTGAAGATGAGCTGGATATCTGAGACAAAGTGGCCCACTGTTTGGTATTTGTGACTCTGGAGCTTATCTGCGACCTCGTCAAACCACATGGGTGTCTGGATCACTCTGGTGTACTCTGGAAGGTGGCATGGGTCTGATGTGAAGATGTGGTCCTCGTCTTCTCTGTAGAGACTCAGTAACAGCTGCTGACAATGCTGTGGACACAACTGAGGTTCAGACACACTGAGTCTTCTGAGTGACATGACTCAAACTAAAGATTATTTTGTCATTTGTTATTCTTTTCATTTATCAGTCAGTTGAATTTTACAATGAAGTGAAAAGATTGTATTCCAAATGCATCTAGACCAGTGGGGGCGGGTCCCGGCTCAAAAGTGGCCAAAATGACGTGCGCTGACATGCTTGCAATACCACCCCGGGCCGATGGGGATGGACCCGGAATAAGAATTAGCCAATGCTAACATATAGCAATGGCAGATCTCTCAAACGTATTTACAGGATGGTCCAAAAGTTGGCTCTTGGCCCAAAGCTCCGTTCCACATGTGTGTCAATGCTGAGGGGAGTAATCTTTTTTTGTCCACTCTAGTTTACTTGCTGTGAATTTTTGAAGTCAGTCGTTTAAATGAATGTGGCTCGTGCCGACTGACGCATGCGCAGATGCGTTTTTTTCACATTTTCCAGCCCCTGCGGCCATTTTGAATCACTCCATGAAAGCCCAATTTTTGGCCCATTAGTTAGAACGGCGGAGATAGGCGTGACAACGTCCGTTAATATATAGTCTATGATCTAGACAAAAAACGAAAGCGATGTCCCATAACGACATGATCCTGTATATTTGCAAACCACAAAGAAAATGTAAGAGCAAAAGAACATTTTTCATAAAAAAGTTGTACATATTCCAGATAACGACAATTCGACTTCTCCTGACCAGCATATGATGATCTGTGGAACTGGACATGACTGCTTCCATCTCCAACTCTGAGAACAGGTCCCTGGTTTGGATCCACACACATGGAGTGCATATCCATGGTCTGCCATCGCTACACACACACATACACACATTTAGTACGTAATCTAAACCACCAAACAAAGAGGGAAAGGCAACTCTTACTCTAACATAGAGTCTGGAATGTGTGGAAGGTGACATTTCTGGTGGAAGGAGCGAGGGCACTGATCACAGTCCACCATCACTTCCCCAACTGTTGCTTCCTTGCGACAGTTCCAGCACTCATCGTCATTCCTCTGACTGTCCTGCACACACATTCCAAAGTGCAACACAAGTTTAGCTCTGTCGTGTTCAAGTGTATTAAAAATTATATCATGTCCTTATAATGATTAAAGTCTACTCACCAGGTCATCGCCATCTGGATGACACAGGCTGCAAATACACAGCAGTGAGTGATTCTCTAAAATGTTTTCCAGCAATAGACATGGTATTATTGTAATATGGCTCTCCCATGAGTTCATATTATTGTTAGCTTCTAGGGCTTGATCCCTCATGATATGATATGTGATGCATGGATCACATTATGGCGAGACTGCAAAAAAAAGAAAATGAGAACAATTGCTTGAATGGAGTGATTTGCATCATCATTTTAGTACATTGTCTTAAAACAAGAATTTAGTCTGATTTCAAGAACTGTTATATTTATTTTCTCATTTGAATGAAGTCATATGCAGGGCATCCTGGGTAACTCCAGTCACCCTCTACATGACACTATGGCCGCTCAGGAGTAATCGAAATAACAGGCTCCGATCAGTACGTTGCCGAACGGGACGTTTCAAGAGACCCTTTGTTCCTTCGGCTGTCAGACTGTACAACAACAACAACAAAAAGAGTCTTCTGCTGCTGGACACCTGAATTTCTCCTACGGGGATCAATAAACTATCTTTCTATCTATTTCTTGTATCTCTTTTAAAACAAGATAATTTTGGTCTTGTCCCATTGAGCAATGTTTTAGGGCAGTCAAAATATATAATGAATAATAATAAGTTATAACAGGAGATAGAAGTGAATGTGTGAGGTATCATTCAGGCCACTTTAACAGATCAATTGGAACAAGCAGAGTAAAAGCTTTTATGGAAGGCTTGTTTATCGCTCGTATTTTGCCAATGTAGTTCTTTTTGTTTATCTACCAAAAGAATCAATGAGTGTCATTGTCACAGAGGGATTGAATATGGGTTGTTTTTTTAACCAGAAAATACAGTGGTGCTGGGTACAAAACATAACTCTGTATTGTTAACAGATGTATTTTTATTTAACAATTGCTTTTTGAAGGAGTGAAGTAAATGTGGTTGTTTTCCTGAGAGGCTTTAAAATGAGGAATAACATGCCATGGCAGCTCAATAGAAACTCAAGACTTTAAGAGTATTGGCTCCTACACTAAAACAAAAACATTGATAAGTGTGAGACAAAATATTGCGTACATTGGATACATGTACTGTCAGCTACACAAGACTAAGAAAGAACAGTTACTTGTATTAGCTCTCCAAGTGGCTTTCCTTCACACATGATTTGTTTCTTCCATGAAATGTCTGTCTGACTCGAGGCCTCCTTCACAAAGTCCACTGGGGTCTTCCAGCTGCTCGAAGTGCGGATGCTCCTTCCACATGTGCCTGGTGATACAAGGCACCCTCAGCTCGTCCCAGAGAAAGTACAACACGATTATTTACAACTGGAGTAGAGTAACAAAAGCGATACCCGAGGCGAAGCGTTTGGTGTGGAGTAAACCACTGATGTCCCCGCACACCACTCTGAGGACTTTAGGGATGTTTCTTGCTGTTAACCGTGACTGAATACCATCTTGATGTTTCTCTGCATTCAATACATTTCACAATTTTAACAGAATATACATGTATAACTCCCAAAACAGTCAACATGATGGCTTTTTGTTTTGGACGTGTATTTACTTCTGGTCTTACATAACTTTTCTGTATGTAGTTTATTATCTTATTTTTGAAACATGGGAAGTTTGACCTTTAACTTCCTAAACCATAATAAACCATAAAAATAATAAAAAATTCAAACATTTTTTGAGACTGGTCCTGGACTGGTTTAGAGCAATCTCAGCTTGGACCAAGTGCAAGTTACCATAGCAACATGCTGTTAAATTGACAGCAGTTAGAATGCTTTCAAGAAACAGTTTTTGCTGTATTTCCAGCTATAATACACTTTTTTTTTTAAAGATTAGAAAATGTATGAATTGCTTGATTTTATTACAATTAGTGAAAAACTAAAACTGATTTTTGGGATTTAAATGGGAGCTGTCAAAATGATGACTGACCTCTCAGAATTCTGGGACTCCTAGTGTTAATGTGTGATTGCAAAAGGATCTAAATCGTTACCTGATGAGGAACCGTCTCTGCTACAGACTTCACTCTCTGCTGATCCTGTGAAGTAGTAGTTTGTCAGAGTTTAGTTCTGACTAATGACCATCATCTTCCAAAGTAGTGCATTTATGACCCACAAACCTGCAACAGTTTCTTCAGGAGGAAACAGAAGCTTCTTGACCTTTCATGAGAACAGAAGTGATGTCACATTCTCTTCACGCATGAATTACTACAACACGTGCATGTGTGTGTTTAATCACCTTTTTGTAGCCGTTGCTCTTGAGGTGTCCGTCCTACAGAGAATACAAAACATATTAGATTCCTTTACTCGTGCAAGGGAAATTCTCTGATATATTTGTGATGTCGTAGATAATTACTTCTATAAGTTGTCCTAATGTTTTGTCCATACAGTGGATGCTCTTTTTCCAGCTCTTTGATTTTGCCTTCCCTGCAAGTCGTTCAAATTCAGTAGGATTGTACCACTGCTTCTCAACCATAATGCACTTTTCACCTAAAAAAACAAACAAGCAAACACACACATCAAATTATTTAAACTGAAACTCAAACAATAAGAAACAATTAATATGGATTAGTGGCATAGACTTTGAGCAGCTGCTGGAACACTTGAATGATTAAATGCTCTAAACAAACATGTGACAATTAACAAGTTATATTGTTAGGCTTTCCAAACTGATGGGGCGTGTTTGTAGCCTAACACTTCCAAACAGTGTAGGGCCAAAGAGTGTTTGGGCCTGCGTCTTGTCTGTGAGAGTGCAATTGTGTGCAAATGTGTGGCACAAAAGTGTGGATTTATAGAAAACCTATAGAAACTTGTCTAAACAACCTTGAAAATGAACCTTGTCCAAGCGGAAAGGTGTTTAAGCAGCAATACCCTACCGATATATATCAGCGTTGCCTAGTCTTTTTGGGCCGTGGTTTTTCATTGACAATAGTCACATGGTACACTGTCAGCAAAAGCTAATACCAAAAGGAACTTTGCAGCCTTTATTACCATGCAAAGTCATTCTCATCAAAGTGTATTAATGAAGCTTAAGCGCAAATTCAGAGGAAGACCTGAGAACCCAGCTCTTGCCCACAGCAACAGCAATCATTCAATCACTTAGCTGCGCAGCGCCTCAGGAAAATCCTCACCTGCAGGAATCAGGCACTGCACGCATCAGCTTCATATCACGCAGAAGCTCCATGCAAGCAGCAGCTTCATTCACGCCGCAACCCTCCTCCTCCCTATCTCCGCCTTGTTCTAGGCCAGCTCCTTCATCCTTCTCCTTGTTACCACCACCAGGGTCTAGGCCCCGGGGGATTTAATCTCATAATCTCTTTCCCCTTCTGCAATCATGCAGTGCTCTGCCGGGGTCTAAGCGCCAAATTCCAACCATTTTCTGTTTAGCACAATAAACGTAATCTCAAAAATATTGTCTTTAGTGTCATACGTGTAATTCATGCTGTGTCAGATTACCTGCCAATCAACATGCAATTCTAATACTATGTTTTGCCTGTTCGAGTCTCTCCAGATTGAAATAGAAAATGAAAGAAGCACAAAAAAAGTATTTCTAATCATAAATACATTTCACATTACTTTGACCATTTTGGATCAGTTCCAAAAGCACATCAAGCAACATCTCAAGGCACACTATTCCACTATGGCAAAATCACTGCTATGTCTAATGGAACTAGGATCAGTCAATCCCTGAGTTAGGTTTAGGGTTCAAGCTGCGTATTGCTGTTTAAGTTAAGTAGGTAAGAAAGTAATCTTTAATCATATAGCGCCTTTCACAGACCAGAGTCTTCCAATTGTTGTGGGCATTTGTCCTCTCACTCCACTCAGATGGGAGCAGGGTCTCCTTACAGGAGGCACAAAGAGAACATGCAATCTCCACACAGAAAGGCCCTGTCTGGGGGTGCAATCCAGAGCTAACCAATGCGGCACCGTGCCTGTATCCTGCTTGTTTTTTGTATACACGTTTGAAGAAAATGACAATTACTACATACTACTACTATAAATACATACTATGTATATATCCATACCTTGGGCCAGTCTGTTCCGGTTCAGAGTACCCTTCAAATCTCCGCAGGTCACCGGCAGCTGAACTTTGAAAATTTTCCACCTCCAGATTTCTCCTTTTTCTCCTTTCTTCAATGGAGTGGCTGTGTCGTAAGAGAACATTTGATTGGTACCAGGCTCTTGTTACATCACTATATAATGATGATGTGATAATGAGGTAAAATTACAGAAGGACACTTTCTTCGGCTTCTTGATTAAACGTTGAGGTGTGACTGGAGCTGAAGTCGAAGGCTGTTCGTCATCATTGTCACTAGCATCATCGTCTGTCGTTTTTCTCATCTTTTTTCTTTTTTTCAAGCTAGGTTTCTTCACTTGCAGCTGGAGATGAACACATTATTTGAAATTTGTGCATAGCTTCAAATGTGTGTCTGAGGTTTGACTATAGCTGAAGTTAATATTGTGTGAACTAGGGGTGTCATGATTCTCCAAATCCTAGATTAGATTAGATTTTCGATTTTAGGTATACAATTTGATTCAATTAGGGCTGGGATAAACGATTAATCTAGCGATTATTTTTTTGATGCATCTATGAATGAATCTAATGTGCTACTTTTTCTTCAAAAGGACGTATATCCCAATGCACTACATGGACATGGATAGCATTTTCGTAATGAATACGAAAATAAAGTCATTTATTGCAGCTCTAAGCTAATACAGAAAGTGCTTTTCCAACAAAAATTAAATAATGAAAATAAACATTTAGAATTCAACAGTTAATAACGTTCATAGGGAACGTGAGCTGGGTTTGACCGTCGTGATACAGGTTAGTTTTACCCAACTGATGATGTGTTGTTGCAATAGTAAGCCTGCTCTCAACGCATTTTTGGATTAATTTTCTTTTTTCTTACAGCACGCTGTAGCATACTGTAGCGTGGCTCAAGTACAGTAATTATATGTTTAAATCCAGCGTTTTACTCCAAATAAGGCTGCAAATCTGCTGCTATAGATAACCCTATAGCATTTGTAATACCTTTAGAGCGAGCTGAGGCCTGTGATTGTCAATCCTCTCTTTGATTTTCATGCCCGAGACCATGACGTAATTTTGATTGATTACAACAAAAAAAGTAATCGTGACACCCCTAGCGTGAACCCTACAATAAACATAGACAGACAATAAACTGGATCACCCACCGATATTTCCGGCTCTATCCTTTGGATATCCTCCCTCCTCAGTATGTCCCGAGACTCAAGCAGAGCGTCTTCACAATCATAAAAATCTTGCCCTAAAGTATATAGATAATAAAAATAAAGTAAAAGTACATACATCACAATAAAAGTAGCAGAGCATGGGGAGGAGGGGTGTTCTTCTGACCGTTAAACAGGCTGTTGTGGAGCTGTCGGAGGGTGGGGTACTTGTTCAAAATTGTCTCCTTGAAGACGCATTTCCAGAAACTATGGATGCAGTGCGGAAGCTTATCTTCAATGAACTCCAGAACGTTGTAAACTGCGCTCCTGATCTTCTCATTACTTTTCATGCGGGTTATCTTCTACAAAGAGACAAAATGCAAAAGTCAAAACAGAAGCAGACTGCACTTACATCGGAGTTCAACATTGCTTTTTAGGGAGGTGTGGCATAAGTCTGTTTGTGAAATTAAAGTTAAATAGCCCTACTTTAATAGTCTGATCCAATAGGACAGTTAGCGCCATCAGTGTGCCTTGAGGTATTGCCAAAGTGTGCTTAGAGGAAAACAAATCTCGATCACGCTTTATTTCTATTAGGGATGTCCCGACTAGGGCTGAAACAACTAATCGATTAATCGACGACTAATCGATTATTGAAATAGTCAAAAACTATTTTAGTAATCGATTAATCGTTTTCTGCTTCACACGGACTCAAACAGAGCAAAAATGACATGAAAATGTAGTATTTTTGATTAAAACCGACTTTGTTTTTATAATTTCATGAGTATCTGTCTGTCTCATCCAATCAGATAGCAGAATTAGCACAAAGAGCCTGTTACAAACATTTACTTTAAGTTTACGCCATCAATACGTCCTCGAGTGTTGCCACTTTAGCTTTTTGTGATGAATAAATACATTTTTTCTACACAATTCACAGCCAAGCGATTACTCGATTAATCGTAAAAATAATCGATAGATTAATCGATTACAAAATAATCGTTAGTTGCAGCTCTAGTCCCGACCACTATTTTTTGCCTCAAATCCCGATCCAATTATAATACTTCATATCCAATCCAATCTTGAGTCCCAATCCAATGCTTTGGATGATTGGTATTGTAAAAAATAAAACTAAATTTTTAGCAAGTAAACTCAATATTTTACAAGACTGAATTCATTCATATGCATGGCTAGCAATGAAAAATTAATGAGAAGTTAATCATCCTCAGTTTATTTTTCCAGGCAAAATGAAACACTCTATAAGCTATAATAAAAGCTATCAAATATTCACTTATAGTTAACAGTGGTAAAAGGAGTCTTCTGTATGTTACTGATAAGCTGCAATACGGCACACTTTAAATCATAAGTTGAGGGCTCACACCAGTGGGCAGTTTAGCTGAGTAAAGACAAGGGACTTCTGAACCGCAAATATCTGGAGTAAAACCTTTAGCTGAACATTCCCTTCAGTAGATTTACACAACGCCATATGCTCAGTTTCATGTTCAGTCTCAAATGCCAAAATAGATTTGTGGTGTTCAATGTAGCTCTGCCGCTCCCACCTCTCCCAATCAACATGTTGCATGACATCGATGTGTCCGTAGTTAAACATTTTTGGTATCTCATTGGAAGGGAAGGGCTCCATCCTGAAGGAGGTAATTACAAGTCCTGGTAAATGTAAGGAACAGCTGTATCAGGTCCATCTGAGCTCTTCTGAATGAAGTTTCTCTTCATACCATTTACCCCCATATTTACATATTAGTATGTTTTGTCCTAATCCAGAATTGATGCAATTCTCACACCTTAAGAAAGATAAAAAGGGATTTTTCAACTTTGTGACTATACAACAATCCTCACACTCTGCAGTCTCCAGCTCGGATCCCGCTCCCCCCACCTCCCTCTACCTATCCATCTTCTCCTTCTCTCCCCTCTACTCCTCATTGTCTTTCCGGCTTACCCCCTCCCTGACCCTGCCCCCTCTGAGCCACATTGGGCCGGCAGTCGGAGGTGCTCATCCCAAGAAAAAATCCGTGGTTAAAACAAAGCACAATGTGTCTATCCAATTGTCTGTGAAACTGTATGTTATTGCTCTGCTGTTTCTTGCGGCACACAGCCGTGGCTCCCTCTGCTGACCCCATGAATCTATTATAATATCGGCTGACCGTAGCTAACTAAAATATCAAATTAATTACAAAGTTAAGCACAGTGCAAAAAAAAAACACTTGATAAATGGAAGTTAATCAGCGCAAAAAAAATAAAGAAGGTGCTGGCATTGCAATTTAAATGATAAGATAATGTTAGCATAATCCTCTCCAATACCTTTTTATCAATTCAAACTTTCTACCAGTTACTGGTAGACCACAACATTCAAGATAACGTTTTAATTGGGCTACACTATGATCCCTGATTGTTTTAAGGTGGAATTTTGCTGCTGCTGGTATCTCATTTAGTGACAAGTGGTATAGGGTTCATTTCGGCCTGCGGTAGCGCTCCTTCTTGCACTGAGGGTGCCACTGTCTTCCACTGAAGGAGCTCTACAGTCCTGTGCAGTGGGTGGGAGGTGTTGTCCATGATGGAGATGACTTTGACCAACACTCTCCTGTCCCTCACCTCCTCCACAGAGTCCAGGGAACCGCCCAAAGCAGAGCTGGTCTTCCTGACCAACTTGTTCAGTCTACAGTGCCTTGCAAAAGTATTCGGCCCCCTTGAGCCTTTCAACATTTTGCCACATTTCAGTCTTCAAACATAAAGACATAAATTTTTTATTTTTTGTCATGAATCAACAACAAGTGGGAGACAATCGTGAAGTGGAACGAAATTTATTGGATAATTTAAACTTTTAAAAAAAATAAAAAACTGAAAAGTGGGGTGTGCAATATTATTCGGCCCCTTTACTTTCAGTGCAGCAAACTGACTCCAGAAGTTCAGTGAGGATCTTTGAATGATCCAATGTTGTCCTAAATGACTGATGATGATAAATAGAATGCACTTGTGTGTAATCAAGTCTCCGTATAAATGCACCTGCTCTTTGATAGTCTCAGGGTTCTGTTTAAAGCGCAGAGAGAACCATGAAGACAAAGGAACACACCAGGCAGGTCCGAGATACTGTTGTGGAGAAGTTTAAAGCCGGATTTGGATACAAAAAGATTTCCCAAGCTTTAAACATCTCAAGGAGCACTGTGCAAGCAATTATATTGAAATGGAAGGAGTATCAGACCACTGCAAATCTACCAAGACCCGGCCGTCCCTCCAAACTTTCATCTCAAACAAGGAGAAGACTGATCAGAGATGCAGTCAAGAGGCCCATGATCACTCTGGATGAACTGCAGATAACTGTTTCTATCAAGAAATTGAATCCGTAGCAAGAGGAATGTATAGCTAAAGTCATTGCTGGCAAAGATCGTGGCGCTACCCCCCACGGGCTCCGTTAGCAGAAAAGGATATGGCTAGGCTAAATGCTAAACCCTAACGACTCACTAGGGCGCACTACATATGTCACGGTAAACTTAGATCCAATTGTTTCTATCTGCAAATGGAGTTAACCCCTCCCACCTGTTAACAGAGCTCAATGGAGCACCTCCAGACCTTAGTACGAAATGTAATTTGACCGCAATTTTGTCTTAACCAGAGGTGAGCAAAGGAACATAGATCAACCAGTAAATAAAGAATTTTGTCTTTCGACTCAGCTTCTTCTTTGCCACAAAAGTCTGAAGAAAATGACAATCGTCTGGGGTAGTGTCGACAGACAGGAGACATGTTTTATTGTCGATGGTAGACACACGAACTAGGATGCTACAGAATGCAAGTGATATTATACATCATGGAAGAATGGAGACCGTCCAATCAGCAGCTGCCAACATGACAGTAGCTTGGCCCTCAGATAACCAAAAAAAGTAGTGAAAAAGTACTGCCTTGTACATATAGAGTAAGTAAGTAAGTAAGTAAGTAATGTTTATTTATATACCGCCTTTCACAGACAAGGGTCACAAAGCGGTTTAAAATTGTTATTATTTTTTTTTTGGGCATTTGTCTCTCACTCCACACAGAGATGGGAGCGAGGTCGCCGAACAGGAGGCGCATGCACAGTCCTATTGTACATATTTTTAGTGGTAGGGGAAACCGGAGAACCCGGAGGAAACCTACGCAGACACGGGGAGAACATGCAAACTCCACTCAGAAAGGCCCTGGTCTGACCGGGATTCGAACCCAGGACCTTCTTGCTGAGAGGCGAGAGTGCTATCCACTCAGCCACCGTGCCGCCATACTGGAGGAAAACCTCGGCGAGTAACAGCCCTGCTAGCTATCTATAACTGGACGTTCAAAACTAGAACTCTCTCGAACTACATGAAAACTGAACAGAGAATTTGAAACTTCAGCAGTTAGTGACCCAAATATATACTCAACCTAAATTCGTGAATCGGATCCTCTGGAAATGCGTCCTAAAATGTATTATTAATGTTTATCGTTACATCCAGGTTTACCGCGGTCGCATATTGTCGCATTAAAACAGTGTTTTTTCATGAAAACGTGAACAGAAAATTCTGAAAACCTCTGTGCACGTGTATTAAGAATGTATATGTATAATGTATTCTCAGATTAACATTTAATGTGTTTATTGTTACACCATGGATCTATGTGTGGCTACACTGCAGTGGAAATAATGAGATTACATTGTGTGAGACCAAATATATAACAGCTATGCTACAAGCTAAGCTACAGTCTATGGAGCAACCCCACGTTGCAGTTAGACAGATATGTTTTATCCTTAAACATCTTTTTGTTTCGGAGTAACACTAAATCCGCCATCAAATTGATTTTACTTAGCAGAAATGAAATGATCCGAGCATATTCGGGCACTCTGGGGGCTATTAGTTTTTTGTTGTTGCGTATGGTTGTGCCATTTCTCTCTCGTTTCTTTGAGATTTCTTCTGTTTTGGAGCCGTGTGAAGTAAGGACGGCTGGCAGTCGGTAACACAACTTTTTTTCCCCGTCTCTCCTTTTGCTGCAGCCAAAAACGGCAAAATTTTTTAACATGTTTATGCGGTCCCGGGTGCACGCCACTATCATACAGCGTTTGCTTGTCCTCCAGTATGGCGGATGCCCCGCGAGTTCGAGGCATCATGACGTCACGTGAGATATCTCTATTGTTAGAAGGATAGATTAAACTTAAAGGGCCCATATCACGGTTTTTGACTTTTCTCTGCTTTAAACATGATTACAATGCTATTTGGCCTTCATACACAAGCCCACAGTAGTTTATTCATTGATTCTGTCAATCTTTTGTAAGAGAGCAATCTGTCTCCTTCCCCAGCGTGAGGCACAGAAACGCTCGGGTCCACTTCAGTGACAAAAACCACACTGATGACGCGCATGACCCGTTTGCTTTGTATTTAAAATAGTTGTTAAATACTTTTGTCAAAACGGGGTAAACAATACACAATTAGTATGCTGTTTTTTGTCAAAAATAATAAAAATAAAAATAAATTAAAAGCCGGCGGGAGGTGATTGACGGATCAAAACAGCGAATCAGAGCGCACAGGCTCCGGCTCCCGAGTCCAGCGTCTGTGGTCTGGTCTCGCGGACACCACATAGAGCTGCTGTTTTTATGCTTTTTTGTCAGCAACTAAAAGTGTTAGGATCACGTCAACTTGAATGAAGTGTGTTTTGGGTGTAAATATGTGACACACTATTTGGCCCTAAGAGGAAGAAAGCGGCTCGACTTTTTTCATCTGTTCATCTCATGGATCTATTATAAACCGGTTCATCTGCAACACTTCACTGAGACTGTTCCAGAACTACAGGGACAATGGAACTGGACTTACTCAAAAGCTGATCTGGAAACACGTTATTCCCACGGTAAAAGACGTAACTCGGACCCCCTCGATCTGTAAGTAGTGACGCTAACTCGCTGTATACTTCTGTAAACTAAATAACTAGGGTCTGATTGTGCATCGAGGACATAGGGCTCGATGTGACGGATTGTCATTGTTGGAAAAAGTTTATTCTTATGTATGAAATTACTAAGTACAGGTGATAAACGACAAAAGCGTGATGCTACGTCACCGTGCGGGCGGGGGGAGGCGGGCTCACAGGCAGAGGAGCAGACTCTTCTCTGGATCAGCTCGTTTGAGTCGAGGTGACGTCACCTCTATACAAGAGATGGCTCTAATCTCACAAGCTTTGATTGTTGTGTGGTGTATCATACACATTAATATCACACATGTGTATAGGATTGAGTGTGAAACATGAAGAAAAGCGTGATATAGGACCTTTAAATCACAGTTGCTTCAAAATGTCATGAAATATCCAAAAGTTCCATTCAGCTCTGACTGGAGACGTTGCTCCTTCTTCACACATACACCTGTTAATCTCACGATCCTTTATCCTTGTAACCAAATTATAACTAGGAACTAAACATTGTAATTACAAAATGTAAACTTTTTCACATGAGCCCGGCTCGACATGCTTTAGTCAGGGCCCTGACACATTGTTTTTGGATTTATTTTTATGATTTTTCCTAACTTGAGCCGCTCTGGGTCATTTAGACCTTTTTAGACTCTAATTTAGGGTCTTAAAGTTTTAATCCCTGGGGCGGATCATTTCCAAATATAAAAGTCAAACATCATCTGTTCTTCTGTGTTTTATCGATGCATCTAAAGCATTTGATCGGGTAAATCACTGGAAATTATTCTCAAAGCTGAACGAGAGAGGGGTGCCTCGTTATATTGTGAGAGTTTTAGTATACTGGTATGCCCATCAGGTAATGCAGGTGAGATGGGGTAGATCCATGTCGGATCCATTCTCTGTTAGTAATGGTGTCCGGCAGGGAGGAATTCTCTCTCCTGTTTTATTCTCCCTGTATATGAATGATCTGTCCTTAGAGTTAAGTGCATGTAAAACGGGCTGTATGATTGGGCCAATCCAGGTGAATCATCTGTTGTATGCGGATGACCTTGCTGTATTCAGCCCTAGTAGTGCAGGTCTACAGGACCTTCTCAATGTCTGCTCTAAGTATGGTGTAGAGTATGATGTAAGGTATAATGCAAGCAAAAGTATGATAATGTTATGTAGAACTAAAGATGATGTAAATGTAAACTTTCCCCAATTTAAATTGTGTGGTGTTGAACTAAGTGTATGTTCCAAATATAAATACTTGGGCCATTTTATTTGTGATGATCTGTCTGATGATGAGGACATTCTCAGGCAATGTCGTATGTTGTACGTTCAGGCGAACATGCTGGTGCGCAAGTTTGGTGCCTGTACAGCGCAGGTGAAAAAGACACTTTTTAAAGCATACTGTACGTCATTATACACGGCACATTTATGGACCAAATACAAAAAAGCAACCATCCGCAAACTCAATGTGGCATACAATGACTGTCTGAGGATTTTATTGAAAAAGCCACGATGGGAAAGTGCAAGTACTTTGTTTGTGTCAGCTGGAATAAGGACATTCCAGGCCGCCATGCGATGTTTGATGTACAGTTTTATTTGTCGGCTCAATGAAAGCCAGAATTGTATTGTCATAAGCCTGACAAATGTCAAATTCAGTGCCATGCGGTACCAGTCAGATCTGTGGAGACACTGGTACAGCTGTTTGCTCTGAGAAGTGAGGCTTATTGTTGTGATTACATGTGTTGTTTTGTGTTTTTATGTGATGTGTGTTATGTGTTATGTGTCTTATCCTGGACCCTGAGTCTGTAATAAAGTTTGATATATGATATGATTTCCACCGAGGGATAAAAGCAAAAATCTGTTAAAGTGTGCAAGTTTTTTCCCGTGTTAAGAAGAGATTTAGACAAAACTTTTCTCTTGAAGTGTTTAACAATAAAACAGTCACAACCATGGACGACCCGCCCCGTTTTCACTTTGGCGCGTGTTTTTTTTCCCGAGTACTTCTCATGGATGATGGATCTATAATAATATCGGCACTTTTGGATGTTGCGTTACTTGCTCACATCCATATAACCATAAACTCCTCTACTATGGGGCCTGACTCACCCCGTGCTGCTCTGTGGAGATAAGGTCGTGGTCCCGCAGCTGGCTCACAAACGCCTGCGGCAGCTCCATGCAGGAAAGCTCGGTCTTGCTGCGGTGGAGGAAGGCCAGCAGCTGCTTGTCCGACAGGAAATTCAGACGCTCCTCCATCTTGGCTCCGCTCTCTCCACAGACTGCAGCACTTTAATGTCTAATATGGGGGGATCCAAGAGGGTGTTGGGGGCGGACAATATGGTGCGGACTGTAGAGGCGACGTCACTGACCCTGGCCAGTTTCCGTGGGTGTGCGTGTGTAGAGTTCAGGCGATCACGTGATGTTTAGGAAAGCGAAAGTTAAGCTGATAAAGTTTTTGACCAGCAGAGGGCGCTGGAGGAACGTGCACTGCGGCTCATAAGGTGATACCATAGACTGTAAAGGTGATACCAGACCATGGATCTGTTAGTACCAGACGCAGACGGTGGTGTAATATTCACAGTCTATGGGTGAAACTTGGAAAATTACATTCAAAAGTTAATTTGCTTCTGTTACTCAGTCTATAATGTGAAACAAATGTGTATGTAGACTCAGAACATGCAGGATGATTATGGCTTTTAGTCCATTTTCAAAACATTCCAATTTTCTAAGAGTTTTCTTCGTTTTTTTTTATCTGTGAGCCAATTGTCAACATTATACCAAAGAAAAGGGTGTGATATATCCCACTTTGCGTGAAATGAGGTTGCCATAGTTCAACATTGTAATGTGAATTACAGACGTAAATGGACGTTGGAAGTTTCCCTGCTGTCTGTACTTCACGTGCCATTTTCTTCACTGGAGTCATGGAACTATTATAATATCAGCGCTGTAAATCTGCTGTCTCATTTTCCATTAAAATAATTCTAAATATTGAAGGTCTGCTCTATATTTAATTATTTGTACAATAAAATACATCTGCTAAATCTGGTTTTGGTGACTTTTGAACAGTGTTGGGCACGATACTTTGAAAAAGTAATTAGTTATAGTTACTAGTTACTTCTCCCAAAAAGTAACTGAGTTACTAACGGAGTTACTCCACTATAAAAGTAACTAGTTACCAGTAAAAGTAACTATTGCGTTACTTTTTTGTTTTGTTCTGGAACAATGTGCACTCGAGGTGCGCATTTTTACCTTTAACCTCAGTGAGTCTGAAATAGTGCTGATATTTCCATCTGGAAAAGTCTGTTTTGCTGCTGAAGTCCTGTTCACTCTTCATCTCTCTCTGTGCTGTAAGCACTGAACACCAACACCCGCCACTGTGAATGTGGAAACACCGGTGAAGCACTGACTTCAGCCCAATCAGATGAACATATATATTATAAATCAACTGGACCTAGAGAGTGGCATATTCACAATTTGTTTGGCTACAGCAGAATATGTTTCATGCCCGCATTGTTTGTTCATACAAAGCGCAAAACTATGAGTTATGGGTCTTAACATACAGTCTATGGTCTTACCTTATACTGTAAATGACCTGCACAGTCCACTTCAGTTCAGACCAGTTCCGTGTTTAAGTCCAGATAATAGTTTGAGCGTAGATATGTAATCCTCCATTTGGAAATTAGTAAAATGAGTTTTAAAAAGTAAAACAAAACGCGTGTCTCCTCCATATCAGGTCAGGCATCATGGCCTCGGATTTGGAGGTGCTGATTCTCATCCCAGCCGCATCACACTCGGCTGCAACCGTCACAGTGCATGTTGCAGGTCCTGGTTCCTTGGAGCCAACAGGACAACATCGTCGGCAAACAGCAGAGATGAAATCCTGTGGTCTCCAAACCGGACCCCTCCGGCCCCTGGCTGCACCTACAAATTCTGTCCATAAACACAGTGAACAGAAGCGGTGAAAAAGGGCAGCCTGCACCTGCCGGCAATGCAAATACAGCTCTGGTAGAGGACAATCATGAAGTCATGAATCCAGTAAAATTAATTGCACACCTTTTTACAGTAAAAAGTTACAGTAGATCAAAAGTGACATGTTTTGACCGTTTGAGGTATTTTGGACCAAAATGGCTACTTTAACTCAATGTTCATGCATGATTCTCATGAATTAATGCATGAATTAATGCATTAGTTCATGATACATTCATGCATTACTAGATCATGAATTCTCATGAACTAACATGATTACATGTTGGTTCATGGATGACTTCATCCATGAATTAATGGTTGAACTACTGTAATGAATTTACATGAAAATCTCATGCGTCTCTACCACGCACATGCAGTTTGACGCGCGAACACGCGTCACTATTGACTTTGCATTGAAAGTCAACGCAACGCATGATCCGGTGTGAAAACACCATCATACAGCACAAGCCCACATGCATGCCAACAGGGCACCAAACCGCTGTGTGTGTGTGTGTGTGTAGTTTGCACCAGCACAAGTCCCACGGACCACAAGGGGCTGTTGTCACTTCCCGCAGGAGAGGCAAAGGAGTGAGAGCCATCACAGACTCGAGCCTAATGCCGCGTTCAGATCGGATGACGCGTCAATGGTGTCGCGCGTTCAAGCGTGGAACTCCATGTGCCTCTCGGGATGCACGCACGGACTGCGGGGCAAAGGCACGGTATAGGCGCAGGAGGGGAAAATTGACCGACACAGGAGATAAAGATTGCTGAGCGTTCCGCCAATGCGGAAGTACCGTTTAATAATATTATAAACTTATGGCGCACCTGCGTTAACACAAACTGCTGTTATATAAAGTCTCTGGAAGGTCTCTGTACACAGAGACGCTGCAGAGCTGCATTATTGGAGAAGAACTTTACACAAAAAGCCGCTTGCTTAACCCTGTTAGCTTCAAAGTCCGCCTGCTACTTCCACCACTTCCGGTGGGTGTCACCGCAGCCCAGAACTTCTGGTCTGAATACCCCTGCGTCTGAAATTTGGGTGTGCATGGCGTGAGCGTTCCAGCGTTAGCGGTCTGAGTGTGCCATAAAAGCCACCGGTCCTGCCCCTGCAATCAGTGGCAGGAAGGTGCCTCCATCAAACAAGTAAGGGGAGGGCAGACAATCCGTGTATCATCCGTTCTTTTGATTTTCTAAATAAAACCAACATTGAAAAACCAAAAAACGAGGGATTTTTAAACCAATAATGACCGTCTAAATTACATTTTGCGATTTTCCTTTGAAACCATGGATCTATTATAATAACTGGATAGGGTATTACTAGCTTGTAGCTGAATAACTCATGTGCTCGGGGGATCCTCGCGGTACTGCAGACTGAACCAGACTAAATTCACGTGGGCTACCCAGAAATTTTCCCCATAGAACTCAATGCATATTAAAACAGCTCAACCTCAGCTGACAGAGAACCTACAGCTTTAATAAAGATAGGATTTTGTGGGGATTTTAGTGTCCCTTGTCATCCTGAACTTTTTTTCTTCTTAAATCCTTCAGTTTTCTTTAAATCCACACTTTAGTGCCACAAACTCTGCTCGTCTGGCTCTCGCTCTAACTCCCGCTCTGATGACCTGCTCTGATTGGTCAGAGCGCAGCCGAGCCCGTCTGTGCACGTGCGTGAGACCCGGTGTGAGACCCACACACGCGTGTTTGGCGCAAAGCATTATGGGAGATCATACACTGCGCAGAACCGGGAGGACCAGACAATGCCCAAATACAGGCGAGTTTCCCATAGATCTTTTTTTTTTTTTTTTTTTTTAATATACTTTTATTACAAATCAAAGTACATATCAAAATGTAAAATATACAAACACCATGGCAATCAATGCAAATGTACAAATTGTAGTGCGGTTTACAAGGCATTAGCAAGAAACAATACAGACACATACACATTCATACACACACTCACACACACATATAGATGAGGTTACATTAGAGGTCATCAAATATTTGTAAATCTTCAAGTGCTTGAATCAGGGATAGTGCATTTTTACATGTCATCTGTTTCAGGGATTTGACATAGTTTTCCTGTGTTTGCTTCCTAAATACTGTGAAAATAGGCTTTACCTTTCGCCATTTACATGTATGGATAAAGTATTTTGCCAGCAACAAAATATTATTCACAACAAGTTTTGTCTCAAAATCTTCCAGAAAAAGTCCAAAAACAATATCGTCCCATTTAAATTCATTCTGTAGCTGGATTCTTGAGGACAGCCAGTCCCACAGATCGTCCCAAAATGTCCTTGTATAGATGCAATCATAGAACAGATGTTCAGTAGTTTCAATGTCATTTTCACAAAATATACAGTTGTTTTGTGCAATATAAAATCTTATTCTGAGCAGCTCACTGGATGGATAGATTTCATTTAGAATTTTGAAGTGTACTTTTGTTTTAGGGCTAACAAGAAATTTTAAATATTCTGTTCTTATTTTTTTTATTTCCTTTAAAGAACATTTTTGAATGATTGAGTTTCTGTTTGGTTTTATAGGAAATAGGTGATTAGTCAGACATTTTCTGAGGGTTTTGTTTGGTATATTTTTTTCAACAAAGTTTTGCTCATATATTTGCAAAGTTGAAAAATTAGGAGTAGGCAAATTATCTAGAGCCATATTTTCTATCTGAATCTTTAGAGCTTGCGGAATTGATTTTAAAATCTTTTTAAATTCAGATTTCTGACATTTGAGATTGTGAAAAGTGCAGAAGTTTTCAAATGATAACCAGTTCCCTTGGTCATCCAGTAGGTGGCGCAATGACCACACTCCTTTATCCATCCAGTTCTGCAGAAAAATAGATTTTCTATTACAGAGGACATATCTGTTGTTCCATAGTGGTGTTTGGTGAGGGGTGAAATTGTGATTGTACATGAGTTTCCAGCTATGCCCGCGTGCATCGGCGCCGATGCACGCGCACATGTTTTACAAATGATCAATTTACTCGCGAACGGTAAAACGTAGCAACTTACTTTTTTCCTCTGTGAAGTACGTATTCAGGGCTTTCCGAAACTAGTTTTGATTTGTCTGTGCGATGCACGGAGGATAAACTACGTTTGTCTGAAAGTCTGTGTCCAAAGCGTGACCCGTGAGGTACAAACAGCTGTGAGATACAAACACACGGGGACTGCCAAAGATTGTCAGAGAGTGAGATGTCTCACTCCTCTGCGTTTACTTGTTCTCCCACAGTTGAAACTACAGCTGCGATTGCAATAACCGGCTGAAGAGTGCGCATTATTGATAAAGAC